CTTGAAATTTTCGTCAGCTCCTGTCAAAAAATATCTTCTGATAAGCCCGATCCGCTCCTTTGTGATAACATTTTGCGAAACTCGCTGTTATTTTATGAGCTTTTCCCCCATTGAAAAGGGTGTTTTGATAAGGAAAAAGATTTCATTTCCATCCCTTTAAAAGGGCATCCCAAATCAGATGAATGCGATTCAATAAAAGAGAAAATTCGGGCGAGATCCGAACGGCGATCTTCACTTTGTTTTCGCCATCCTTTCGATTCATTTTTCGTTCCGTTTTTGATTACAAAATCAATTGATATTTATGGTGCGAAAAGTTGGTTTTCTTGTTATTCTTTCTTTTGATTGTGGCTACTTTTTATTAGGAGAATTGGTTAGTTTTTTAGTTTAGGAATCCCAATCGAAAACGTCTTTTTTTCAAATAACTTTGATTGCATCAGTCTGTCGGGAAAATAAGGTGAATTTGAAAAATTGTCTTTCATTACTCTGCGGCGGTTAGCCATGGCTGATGATTTGGCGCAGTGAAGGGAGACATTTTGCTGCGTCAAATCCACATTATTTTCTAAAAAAACTGATGCAATCAAAGTTAAAATACGTCTATTGGTCGATAAAAAATATTTTTTCAAGGTTTAAATTTACTTCTTTTGTAAAGCAGGCTTTTGTTTAACGACGATCTTTGCACTTCAACTGACTGAAAATACTCGACTGTAACCTTTGAACCATCGATAGTTAAGCTGAGTACGATGGCTCTTTTATATGCCATATTATGACAATTGATCACAGCAAGTCTCAGATATTCCGAGTTTTCTTTTTTGAATAAGGCAGCTTTCTTGTAAAAAGACCCCATGGGCCGGAGGGTCGGAGTCGACCGGATATATTGATGTCGTTCAAGGGAAGAAGAGCGTCGTACAACAAAACTGCGGGTATATAAAACTACCCTAACGTGGTACTGTAGTATGAATAAGGAGTCACTCATGAATCCTGATAAGTCGCATAAAAAACGGGAAATCTTTTGTCTTCGTTATTTTGGGTCACCCTGTAGTAGTCCTTCCGGAAAGTCGCCGGATTGAAATCGGCGACACGCACAGTGGGAAAACAAGAGTTTTCTTGCTTTTTGCACCGTGCAGTAGGCTTTTTTTCGGCTGACTTTTTTCGCACAGCGCAAACGCCAAAAAATCAGTCCGATGACTTTCCGGAAGGTCTAGTAGCACTAATTTTCACATTGATTGTGCAGCTTCTTATTCCACTCTTTCCTTACTTCCTTACAACTCCATTATTTTCCAATATTTCCTCCCCATATCCCCCCTGTTCTGGCCTTCCTTGCAGTCCCATTTCCTTTACAATTATTTCCAGGTGGAGAGTGCGTCGAAAAAGGGGGGAAAAAATTCTTGTGCTCTTTTTTGTTGCTATGCATTTTCAGCCCCTTTTTCCGCTGAAATTCAATAGCCGTAATCCCGAGCCCTTTAAACGTTCGCCGCAGGAATGTGGGGAAAAAGTTTTGTGGGATGTTTGCAAATGAATCAGGCCCTCCCCCCAATACAATACACAAATGTTTTTGGGGGGATCGAATTTCGGTTCGGGTTTAACCCCAGGCCCGAACTCCGAGGCCTGAGGGGCTTTGCAGGCGGCGACGTACAGATTAACCGACGTCTTCGGCGGGCCTGCACTCTTAGGTTGTCGTAAACGAAGGAATTTCGCCGGGGCGAATGTACTGTTTTAGTAGTGTTTTTGGGGCTTCGGTAGTTCAGCCCCCCACGAAAGGTAGTTCAAACCCCCACTGTTTTTCCCGTTTCACACCCCACATAATGAACAAATTAGAATAATACAAAAAATGTAAGTGGGGGTTTGATCTACTACGTTGGGGGTTTGATCTAAAACGTAGGGGGCTTTATCTAAAACGTAGGGGGCTTGATCTAAAACGTATGGGGCTTGATCTAAAACGTAAGGGGCTTGTGCTGGACCATACAACTTGGATTAATTCTTTGAAATAAATTTTGGGGTTCAGAATGGACGAGGGGGTTTGTACTGGGTCATGGGGGGCTAAACTGGACTGGGGGGTTGTACTACCTTAGCCCCGTGTTTTTAGTATAATGAAATTCGATTTCCATGGGAGAATACGTGCGAACAACGATGACGTCACGGTTGAAAAGGAGGGGTTTTCTCTCGGAATCGTTTTTTTTTATCATCTGTTGGGATTTTACAAAGGAAATTTTTGTAGAAATCTCTATAAGGTGGGCTCTATTTTTTCGAAAACTTGTGAGACACCAGCAATGATGACGTCATTTTTAATATTATTTTATTTTCTCTCCTTCATGATATCGAATTTCCTTTATTTTGCAAAACGATTTCGGAACACTCATAGCGAAAATGAAGGGTCCAAAGTTGGCCGCTCAGATTTTGGTGACACTTGGCAAAGCCTAGAACTTTCTGTGAGATTTATGATAAATTCTGTTGTTTTTGGGACAACAGAATTTAAAACAACAGCACTATACTCTTGCAATTTTTCAATTAGCTTATGTTTGTGGGCTGGGTTATGACAAAAAGTTTCGTATTTTTGCACAAGATCCAGTGGGTTTCAATTTAAGACAGGGTTTTTTTCCAATCATCTCTCTCCATTCTTTACAGTCATTCTTTTGAAACAATTGCAATAAGAGGTAAAAAATTGGAAGGCTTAAAAATATACATCGTATTCTACATTTCTCACATTATCCATCTCCTTTTTTTATAATCTTTTATCTCTGACTGTCTAATATCCTAAATCTCTAAATTAACCACAAAATTACCTCAAAATTCGATTACTTTTCACACTTTTACCATCAATTTCTTCACCTAATCTAGTCTAGCCTTCACTCCAAATCACCCCTACACCACTTACAGTTTACTGTATTTTAGCAGCTCTTCGTTCTTATCGATTCCCACTTTTACGGCTTGCTACTCGACGTTTGTTTCTCTGACAGCTTTACGATTATTATTCGAAGATTCGAGCACAAAATCGGAGCTGATAAGGGGTCAAAATGTAATATTATTCCTCGTCACGGGATTAAGAGTTTCCATTTTTCGCTGGGTTCCCCGATTAGCGATAGGGTTATTTGGATGCAATGAAAGTTGGGTTCAAGGTTAATCTCTCACTTCTTTTTCGAGTTTTTGATAGAGAATTGGGTTCAGAGAGTAAAAAATCAACAAGTTCACAAAGCCAAAAGTTTTGATTTTGATGAGGTTTGGCTCAAATTTAGGCTAGGGCTTTCTAATGCAACACTTTCGGCTCGTGATTTTAATATTTACCGGCATCACCAGCATGAAGCTGTTTTCTCAGCTAAAACTTACTGCAATTGTTCGACGAGTTGTCGTAATTTGCTGAGATTTATAAAAGAACCTTTCTGATCCATGGCTTTCCTAATTTTGCGCGGAAAAAAAACGATTTTTTGTAGAAATCTTGATGTTAGCATGGGAGAAAGATTGATAAATTTTCATTTTCTTCTGTCCCCAAAAAAGTCTATGATTGGGCCATCTTTAATCTATCTTTAACCTCAAAATCTACGTAAAATCACAGTGCTCTCCGCACCATGTAACCTCTAAATCTCACCTCAAATTACTAACATCTTCAAGACTTTTTGAGCGCCTATACTTTTAAGAGTGCAACGGTTTTTACAATTCGCCCTGTCTCCGCTCTTTTACCGTATAATATCAAAGAATGCCGAAATCAATCCCCACATTTTCTATTATAGCCATTTGACAGGATGACAATTGTAAAACAAACTTTTATTATGATTAAAAGTTATTTTTATTACACTTCCCTGTACTTTTGATGAATGTCCTGTCGACTCACAATAGGGGTGGTATAATATCGCCCATCCGCGTGATAGATGGGGCCGTTCGCTGCGCTCTTATAAAGGACTTTGATTTCGCCGCCTTCGAGAACACTGTAGATCATAAGCTGGGCAAGGTGGTTGGAACAGATCTATGGTGCGTTAGGTCAACGGGAAATTTATGGTCGATTCTTTGATCATTCACGTGATTTTGGAGGTTTTTTTGTGGTAATAAGTGCAAACTTTAAGGTTATCAAAGAGGAAAAATTCATAATTCCTTTGGCGTTCAATAGGGTCAGTTTTACGATACATCTTAAAAGTATGACAACAATCAATTTTTTCCGGGTGAAATTACCAAAGATAAAACAATTTTTCTGTGACCGCTCTCCACGTTTAGCGTACTCTCTCGGCGGCAAAGATCGTTGAATATCTCGGTAGTGCCTGTAAAGCACGGGCTAAAACTTTCCGGAATCGATATGTGACTTATGCCCGAAGTCAGTTCAAAATTTAAGGTAAATCTGAGCGTTGCACTTGGAGGCCTTCTTTTGTGAATTGTTTGATAAATAAACTAGCAACAAAAAACTTTAATTATCACTAACTTCCAGACTAAAAACTAGGTCGCTTTTGCAAAACAAGTGCTAGAAATCCTCCATATGTCTTCCGAAAAGTAATCCAAATCAGTGCAAAGTTTCGTTTAAATCTTCTGTTTGAGAAATCAAAGAAACTATAATATTTAATTAAATGGAAATTGTATACAGACTTTGTAGTAAAAAGGGATAAAAAAGGGTATCTTATAGAGTTTTGTTGATATTATTATATACATGTACATGTTAGCAATTAAAGATTGGGCCTCGGAATTAGTTTTTGATACTTTCCCTTTCCCCGTGAGAGTAATCTTTGTCCCTTCCCTGCAAAATAATCCTTGCTCCTTTTACCGTACCATGTTTTCCTTCCGATGACAATTCAGGTGACACCACTTCCCAAATTTGTTGCTATATTTATCTCTTTTCCCTGGATCCCTTCCTCCACATTTGTACGGCGGTTTTTCATCATCCAATTCGTCGTGTGTTATCTGCAATTTCCTGCAGGCTTGGTTTGTAGTTTTTGCGTCCGAACAATGGAATACTTTGAATTTCTTTGCAGGTGAACGTGCACATGAGCCTTATGTAACAATATTTATTGCCCTTTTCACTTGGAATGGACCGACAGCGCGGGTTGGACGACATGGCGCTGAGCTGGCGACGGCGACGTAGGCCGGGTGAGTTGCTGGTAATTTCGGAGCTCCTTGAAGTCATTTTTGGATCATACATGATTTTTCAGTTCGCCCCAAATCCCCTTCCATTTCCACATCTCATTTCCAATCGGGTACAAACAAAATGCAGGTCAAACACACGAGTACATCCGCTTTAACTCACACGCTTCTTTATACAATCACTTTTTACGTTCTCTTTATCATATCATCAGTGGCAGGAGATGAGGCATTAAAGTGTGAGTTCCCTTGAAAATTGGCCCAAAAATCCGCCGTATCCAAAAAGCCTGCCTTTTTTCGCAAAAACGCTTTATTTTCAGCCTCGGAGCGCCTTATACCGGACGCCTTCAACGACATGTCCATCGAAGATTTCATCAGCAACTATCTGAATGCCAGCCGCGAAGCCATGGACGACGAGATGCTCGGATCGACACCTCTGTCCGTGGAGATCCCGCGCAACATGAAGGAGCTGCGGATGAGTTACATGGCCGCCATTCCGCGGATGGAGAAGAACTTCTTTGACAGGCTGGCCCTTGTTTCGGCGGTAAATTCGAACGAAATTGGGACCGATGTGAATGTGCTGAGTGCGGCGGATTGCTTTCAAAAAGATTTCCAAGGTGAGTATTGATAGTGCTGAAATGTTTAGCTACAGGGTCTTACAAAAAAACGTGAAGGAAAGTCGGAGGCCATAACTTCCGGTGGAGGCGGCGCAGAGACTTCGTTTTTGGAATATGTATTTTTTAACGACATTAATTTTTGCCTACGAAATTACAAGATTTTAGAGCGCAAACTCAGGTTGCGACAACCTTCTGAAGTAGGGGAATTTCTACCCTGAAAACCAGTGTTTTTCGGTTGAAAATGATTGAGAATTAGCCTTAGACTTTCCTTCAAGTTTTTTGCAAGACCCTGTATTTCTTTGTGTTTTTTTTACCATTTTTTTTCTTTCTAGGTGGAATGATATCTGGAGCTGTTAACGTGGCTATCAACGAGATCAACGCGAACCCCGATCTCCTGCCAGGATGGTTTATGACGTTGATGTTCGAGAATACATGCGGCCGTGAAGAGAAGAGTAAGTTTGGAGGCTAAAAACTTTTCAGGACGTCTTGAATCCTATGATTCTTTTTTACTATGCCATGACGTCATAACTCTCATTAAATTTTTTTCGCAATATCGGCCTATAAATTATTAAAATTCATTTACAAAAAACGACAATTCCGATACTTTTTGACCGTCTTTCCGCTTTCAGGTACACGTCATTTCATGGAGCATTGGCGACTGGGCGCCAAAGTCTTCATTGGGCCGGAAATGAATTGCCGCGTGGAAGCGGCCATGGCGGCCGCTCAGAATCTGCCCATTTTGAGTTACAAATGCAGAGATCAGAATTTGTCGGATAAGAAGAAGTAAGTAAGAGGATCATAAGACAATACAAATCAGACTTAAAGAGAACTAAGAGAAATTTGTGCGAGGGAGAGACATGACTCTTAACTTTTAACAATGGGTTGAGCTTTTTTAGCCAAATAAAATCGCTGTGGCACTCGTGTAGACCTATAATAAACCAGTTTGTCGTTAGAAAAACCCCCGTTTGTCTGAGAGAAACAAATGACCCGAAATTCAGCAAGATGGGTCAAGTCTTCCTCTGACTCTGAAACATACAAAAAGCCAAACAAAACATAATAAAACCTTCTAGAACCCTTTAAGCCAGAATTTTGCAGTATTTTCGAATAACAAGTCCTACTTGGAACTCGTATTTACAACACTTTTCTGTTTTCTCTTTGCACAAATATCCGAAATTTCCAAAATTGTTTCCCACGGGAGGAAAAGAGGCAGTTTTGCAGAAATTGTAAACAAGATGTAATTAGCGTTATACCGTAATGTATTACCGCTAATCCCATAAAAAGGGACCATAATTCCGCCAACTTTTCGCTTTTCTTCGCGATTACAGTTTGGGGATATAGAAGATTAGCGTTGAAGTGAACGTTCAAATGAATTGATAGAGGGTTGAAAAAATGTATACGATACACGCTTTATTGTTAGACAATTTGAGTGACCAGAGATAAGAATCACGAGATTTTTTCGGTTTTTATCAAAATGCTATGGATAATATCATTATATGTCCAATGTGGATAAAGTCCGACTGATAAGGATGAAAAGCGTCTGGAAAAGTGTTTTGTTACTTATTTTACACTTTGACGATCTAAAACAGTTCGAAAAACGGAATGCCAAAAATGGCGGGAAATTAAATTTTTGAATTTAAAAATTGAAAATTGGTCTATAAATTGACAAAAAAGCCTAAATTGAGCAAATTTCATTTCTTATCTTTAAAAAAAACTTTTATTTTCGTTGTAAAATGCGTACAAATTGAGCAACTCCCTTCAGGTATCCCACATTCGCCCGAACCGTTCCCGCCGAGACGGAGATCACAAAATCCTTCATGTCGCTCATGAAATTCTACCAATGGCATCGGTTCGCCGTCGTCCATGACAGTCGGGGCAACAACGCCGAGCTTTTTCAGTCGATAAAAACGGCGATTGAAGGGGAGAATGAGCGGATGGATTTGCAGAGCTCCAGCGAGGATCGGTATCACATTGCAAATGTGAGCGTTGTGCCTTATCCATTTGATGACATTCAAGTGGAGACCAAGAACATTATTAAGGATATTGTTAAACATACGAAGGATGAGACGAGAAGTAAGCGCAAAAAATTGAAGTCGATGATGTTGATGTTGTGGGGGACCTTATCCAGTGGCAAAAAACGTACAATTTTGGATTCGGGAAGCATTAAAAATGTGGCAAAATGCTTCCCTCTTCAAGCAAAAAAACTTCCTTTTGAAGGGCGTTCTTTTTGAAATCGGAGTTTTTCACTTGGAGAGGGATGCATTTTGACACATTTTTGATACTTCCCGGATGCAAAATGGCACGTTTTTTTGCCACCGGATCAGATCCCCCACTGTATGCAATATATGTATATATATTTTGATTTTGTCATTTTCAGTATACGTCGTATTCGGTGACCCAATGATGTTCCGAGCATTCGTTACGGAAATGGGTGATACTGGTCTGATGACTGATGGGAAATACGTTGCAGTCTACTTGGATCCCGATTACAATTGGCTCAATGCCTATCATGCAAACTCGAACCACTTCTTTCGAGGTGAGCGGACAAAAAGTTGGCAGTGCTCCAAAAAGCGATGCTCTGCTTGAGTTATCTACGTACATACAGTGCGTCCCAGGTTTTTGGTTCCACCCCATTTTTTGATCTTATCTCGAGGTGTTTTTTCTCAAACGCCATGAAATTTTACACAAGTGTTAATCAACCTTTAAGAATAAGCTATGCAAACTTTCATCCGATTTGACTTCAGTAATCTGACGTTATCGCGATTTTTTTAAAATTTTGGGTGTCCCAGGTATTTGGTTCCACTTGGAAATTTGCGAGTTTTTGGTCCGGTTTTGAACCAACCTGCTCTTAATACCATTACTCGTGTTCTCTGTAGCATTAGAAAGGGTATTACAAACGGATCTACCGTACTTTATCGACGCGGCGGCCCCACGAGCCATCTCTGACCTTGTACATGAGGTAAGCATTGGTTTTGAAAAAAATCCCGATTAGTGATTTATTTCCGGCGAGAAACAACTTAGACTACTTGTAGCAAATGCATGATGTAAAACAAACCGATACCGATTTGTTTAAAGTCATTTAATCGACCTTTTAGGTCATTTAAGCTACCGTATGCCTTCTACAGTAACCTTCAAAGGCCCTAAAAGTACAGAAAATTACTATCCAAGGGAACTTTTTGCTCAGAAAAACAAACTCTGCATGTTAAAAAACCTATAACTGAATCTTCTGGCTTGCTGAAATGTTCTATCCGCCGCAGGTGGTTGGTTCAAGGATAAATGGCTAAAAGCAAGCCTATTTTGGCCTATTTTTCGGAACTTTTTTATAGAACGAACTTTACAGACCCGATTTATTCTGAAACGGCTAATGATTGTAGCATTACGTTTTCAGGCACGCTGCGTTCAAATTTGCGTATCAAATTTTGTGATTCTCGTCCATTCCTCTTGGTAATTCGGGGTATAAAGTGTTACGGTAGCTACTTGTTGAAGATGATATGCCAAGAAAATACTCGAGATCATTGAGCAAGCTACTTTTTTTCATTAAGTAGATGCACACTGTATAATTTAACAGCATTGGCAAGTTTAATGCCCAAAAAACAGCCTGACTGACATTTTTTTTCAGAACCAATCTTTATCTCATGTACAAGGTCGGAGATGGCTCATAGCGCCACTCTGTCGAAAAAGTACGGCAGATACGAATGTAATACCCTTTCTAATATTACAGAGAACACGAGGAATGGTATTAAGATCAGGTTGGTTCAAAACCAGATCAAAAAACTCGCAAATTTCCAAGTGGAACCAAATACCTGGGACACCCAAAATTTAAAAAAAATCGCAATAACGTCAGACTACTGAAGTCAAATCGGATGAAACTTTGCATAGCTTATTCTTAAAGGTTGATTAACACTTGTGTAAAATTTAATGGCGTTTGAGAAAAAACGCCTCGAGATAAGATCAAAAAATGGGGTGGAACCAAAAACCTGGGACGCACTGTATGTATAAAGGACTCTATTGTTGTCCCAAAATGTTCGGTTTTTGCTTTGCAGGCGAGCAGAAACGCTGCAATTTTCCCGAAAGAAACTGTTGATTTTTGGTGTAATGTCCCGAAATGCTTTGCAATGCAAAAAATCTAACATAGTTTACAAAAATAAAACCTTAATATGCCCTTTAGCTAACTTGCAAATAATTTCCAGACACCCGCCAAAACCTTCTCGAAGGATTCACCGAAGATTCGATGGCCCGAAAAGTTGCCAACTACTCGAACACAGTCCTGGCCATCATTCCAACTCCCGTCAAACTGAAGACCGACGAATACAAAAGATTTTGGAATCAAAACAACTTTTATTTGAAGCAATACGGAACGCATACGACAAACGTGAATCAGACAATCATGCCGAACAGAGTGGCGTGTTATCTGTACGATGCGGTGATGTTGTATGCGACTGCAGCGACCGAATATTTGAAGGAGAGCAATAAGACGGCGGAAGAGTCGATTCAAGATGGAGAAGGAATTACCAGTCGTATTCTTGGACGAACTTATCGGAGTGAGTCGAGCTTTGATTTGTAAGAGAATCGCTTTTGATAGTGCAGACGCATCGCTTTTGCTAGACTTAGAACTTGGCGGAAAACGCGCCAGAGTTTACTCTGCAAAGGCTACAGTGGTGGGGGGCCTGATCCGGTGGCAAAAAACGTATCATTTTGCATCCAGGAAGTATAAAAAATGTAGCAAAATACCTCCCTCTCCAAGTGAAAAAAACTCCGATTTTAAAAGCGCGCCCGTTCTTTTTGTGAGAGCGCCCTTCAAAACGAAGTTTTTTCACTTGGAGAGGGAGACATTATGCCACATTTTTTGATACTTCCCGAATGCAAAACGATACCTTTTTTGCCACTGGATCAGGTCCGTCACTGTATTGTCCTATATGTAGGTAGAGACTTTAACGCAATGTGCCATTGGCACGTCATATGGCACTCTAATGTTCCACATTTTTCAGGTATGCAAGGTTTCGACATGAGGATCAACATGAATGGAGATGCCGAAGGAAACTTCACCTTGCTTTCCCTCCAGCCCCTTGAACCGAACAACGACCGCTCGAGCCTCGACTACTATCCAATCAGCGCCGGCCTCGACGTCACCGCCGATTTCATGGCTGACGGCAAAGCCAACGACTTGCCCAAACTCCGGTTCCACCGCAACGTCCCATGGCCCTCCGGCACTCCGCCCAAGGACGAGCCGGAATGCGGGTTCGATGGGGCCAAGTGCCGGAATGAACGGGAGTATCGGATCAGATTGGCGATTTACATTACATCGGCCGTCTTATTCTTCATTCTCTTGATGTCAGCGGCTTGGGCATACCACCGGAAAACGTTTGAGGATAAGATTTCGAACATCTGGAGGATCGAGGAAAGGGAAATCCACAAGATTGTGCATACCAATACCTCAGCAAACTCGCTGTATTTATACGACGCTGGAAGCAGACAGAGCTTGTTAAGGTAAGCGGAACATACTAATTTAAGTAATGAATTACTCATAATACTTTGAAGAATTTTTACTATTTTTGATGAGCTGCCTAATAAATATTCAAAAAATCATCATGGATTACATATTTTTTGTGAATTGCAAAGGGATTTGTCTTTTGCCAGCCAAGTCTACCTATTATAGCATTTTTATGAAAGACTCAGAGTGCTTATTACTAGTTGGACATGTATCATTGCTCAAGGGTCATTTAGGTCTCAACGCCAAAGTCGAAAAAGTACGCCAAATAGATGAAACTTTGATGAAACTTGGCACAAATTCAGAATAAAATTAATCAAGATATATACCAGATTCCAAACTTGCGCTTTGCCGAAACGACCGAGATTTTTTGGGTTGAAACTCGGCAAAAAATTGCCACTTTTTTTGCCAATTTTGGCATGAAAAGTTTCAAAAAAGGTTCTTCCATAGAGTGTAATGCCTCCATAAAAAAATTAATCAAAAATGACAAAGATATGAGCAAAAAAATTGTTAGTCTGTTGTTTTCCATTGTAATTTTTCGTATTTCAGCCCGCTCAAGGATAACAATGTCACGGACAAACGCTTCAACTCCCTTCGCTTTGTCGCCCTCTACAAAAACGTCGCCGTTGCTGTAAAAGAGTTGAACTACACGCGCAAAATGAAAGAGCCATCGCGAGAAACCCGAATCGAAATGAAAGCCATGGTCCAGCTTCGGCATGATAATGTCAACTCCTTCAAGGGAATCATCCTACAGCCCTCGCAGAACAAGATCCTCGTTGTGAGGGAGTTCTGTCAAAAGAATTCCTTGTTGGATATGCTGAAGAATAAGGACATCAAGTTGGATCATATTTTTGTGACTTCGTTTGTTGAGGACCTCATCAAGGGGATGATTTATATCCATGAGAGTGAGGTCCGAGTTCATGGGAATCTCAAGTCGAGTAACTGCTTGATTACGAATCGATGGGCGTTACAGGTAAGCATTTTACAAGGGAAGTACTTGAAGTGTGACGCTCAGATTTTGATGAAACTTGGCATAAATTTAGAATAATTTTTTCTAAGATATATGCGAGAATCCTAGCTCGCGCTTTACAGAAACAACCGAGATTTTTAGATCAAAAGTCGGCGAAAATTTAGGACTTTTTGCCGAATTTCGGCACGAAAAGTTTCATGCCTATTTCAACTGTAAAGGATAATGTTTCTACAAAAAATCAAATTTTTCCGCACGAAACTGCCAAAGTTATGGCCAAAAAGCGCTTTTCTCTCTGACCGCTCTCCACGTTTAGCGTGCTCTCTCGGCGGCAAAAATCGTTCGATATCTCGGCGGCGCCCGCAAAGCGCGAGCTAAAACTTTCAGGAATTGATATTTAGTCCATACCCGATGTGTGTGCAAAATTTAAAGAAAATCTGAGCGTCACACTTGAAGTACTTCCCCTGTTAGTCTTATTCTGTAATAAAAATAATATAAAAATTACATAGTTACCTCTTACTGTATATACCTCAAAATCTTACTCTTCCAATTTCAGGTCGCTGACTTTGGCCTCAACGAGCTCCGTCAAGGGGTTTCCCCTGTCAGCGAGGAAGCCAAATGGGAAAGTCGGCTTTGGGTGGCTCCTGAACTTCTGAAGACGATCGACTCCAACCAAGGAATGAAACCAACTCAAAAGTCTGACGTCTACTCTTTCGGTGTAATCCTGCATGAGATCATAACTCGCCGCGGTCCCTACGAAGTGTATACGGCGACCAATGGTGGTGCGGATGAGATCAAAGCGATCGTCGAGAGGATTATGAATCCCAAGGAGACGCCAGACGGGCTCATTGTTCACCGACCGGACTTAAAGAACACTGAATGCCAAGACTACATCAAATCGACAATATCCATGTGCTGGGAGGAGATCCCAATGATCCGGCCCGACTTTAGACATGCCATTCGACAGAAGCTGAAGCCAATGTCAGCCGGAATTCACAAGAGAAACATCGTGGACCATATGATGCTCATGATGGAGAAATACCAAACGGATCTCGAGAACCTGGTGGAAGAGCGAACGGCCCAATTGAATCGTGAGAAATGCAGGACGGAAAACCTGCTGCAGCGTATGCTACCGCCATCTGTTGCTGCTCAACTAATGTATGGAGGAGAGGTGAAGCCTCAGTCATTCGAAATGGTCACAATCTACTTCTCTGATATTGTTGGATTCACAAACATCAGTGGGTCCTCAACACCGATGCAGGTCGTCAGTCTGCTCAACAATTTGTACACGCTTTTTGACTCGGTCATCAAACAGTATGATGTGTATAAAGTAGAGACGATTGGAGATGCGTATATGGTAGTGTCCGGGGTGCCCAACTTCAAAGACGCGATGACTCACGGATACGAAGTGTGTATGATGTCGTTGCATCTGTTGGATGCCTCTCAAGCCTTCAAGATTCCGCATATGCCGGAGGAGAAGCTGAGGGTGCGGATTGGGATTCACTCGGGCCCTTGTGTTGCTGGAGTTGTCGGAAAGACCATGCCGCGGTATTGCTTGTTTGGAGATGCGGTCAATGTGGCGAGTCGGATGGAGAGTAATGGACTTCGTAAGTTGTGGCTGTTATAGGCAGCGTGAGTGAAGTGACGTCTCTTATATGTTGTGAATTTCTACAGCTTTTTTTGCCATGCAATTGAAACTCAAGGTCGAATGCATGCATTAGGTTTGCAACGGTTTTGAAAAACTCTTTGAACTTTCTCTGAAGTAAAGCAGCTTATATTAGGTTGATGCAAAAGGAATTGCGGATTTTTTAATTTATTCGTATTTTTTTATAGGATAGCTCAATTCAAAAATGGAAAAAGGTATATAGTAGTAAATTTTAAGAGGATTTTTTCTGTATATGTGCTATTCTTATAAAAGTTATCAAACGTTACCATAAGTTACCACGAAGGTACCCTAAACATGTTAGTACATTTTAAACCAATTTTTTTACATATTTTTTTGCGGCTTTATCCATTTTTGAAAATATTTTGATAAAATACGTTATATTCTATCAAAAAACAAAAAAACCCCCATTTTTGGCAAAGCGTTAAAACGCTATCCCAAAAATTCAAATTTCAGCAAATTTTACAAATCGTGTCATATCTTTTTTTTAATAAGTCCAAAATAAAAAATTCTTTTTGCTTTCGATTAGTAACAACATTTTTAAGGCTTTCTTGAAAAAAAGACATCAAAATCTTGAATTTTATTTTTTGGTCAAAAAATGTCAAAAAAATAAATTTTTTTGATTTTGATGTTTTTTGTCACAAAAATCTTAAAAATGTTGTTACTAATCGAAAGCAAAAAGAATTTTTTATTTTGGACTTATTAAAAAAAAGATATGACACGATTTGTAAAATTTGCTGAAATTTGAATTTTTGGGATAGCGTTTTAACGCTTTGCCAAAAATGGGGGTTTTTCGCCACTGATCAGGTACCTCACTGTAGGATCTATACCCATTCCTTAGCTCTCTAAAAAAGTTCAAAGTCTGACCAATAAAACCTTCCTATTTCTAATTTCAGCCCACCGCATCCACGTCAGTCAGAACACTGCCAACATCATTAGTGGTCTTTCCGAGTTCCATCTGGAGGAACGTGGGTTGGTGGAGGTGAAAGGAAAGGGTCAAATGAGAACGTACTGGTTGAGTATCGCGTCCGACCGCGTCTTCCCGCAAACCGACATTGACAAGCTGCAAATGGAGCAGGACAAGTTGGAGTATTTCCCATCCAGCATCTTTGCCGATCGCGCTCATGATTTGAAGATCCGAAAGGCGCCCGCTAAGCCGATGACGAGAGGATTTAGTAAGTTTTTTCTGTTAATTTACCTATCAAAACTGCATATTTTGACCATGAATTTACAGCCATGGACGCCGAGGATATTTCCCGTCTCTCGCTCCTGAATGAAAGTCAGCAAATCCTGAATGCGGATGGCGGTGGAATTCTGAAGCGAATGCTGGCCAAAGTCACCCAACAGCCGGACAAATATGGCCCACTACAGGCCCAATCGCAGTCCTTTATTCCACCAACAACTTCAATGGCGGCCGAAGTTAAGCGAGCTCTCCGCACCAACCGACCAATCTCGCCGAATCGCAGTAGACTTTACAAGGTTTTCGAGTCGAATGAGGAGAACCTCGGGCTGCTGAATGGAGGCTTTGAACTTGATCAGCTTAAGACTTCGAATTCGAGGAGGAAGTTGACAAAACGGCGCCCAGACACGATCGACGAGGATATGATGGAGCAGCGGAAAAAGACTAGCCAGAGTACGAACGGGAGTTTGGCGACCACAGGTTCGAAAAGTGGATCTGGAGAGGTCAGAGAGATCAAAGAGAAGCCACAAAGAAAGAGGTCGTCTTCAGCGCCGGAAATGGATAAGATGGAGCCCTTGTGGAGGCAATATGAGAGCCGGCAGCTATCGCAACAGCAGAATGTAAGTTTTTTCCCAGCATTCAATGAGCTCTATTTGTCTTAAAGAAATGCAGCATCCCATCAGTGGTCTCTATGTAATAATTTTCTTTTAGAAAGCAAATCCCAACGTTCCTACCGGCTCCTGCGATCAAAGCTTCTTCGATCTAGCACACACGCCTCGCGACTTCAACAACCCGTCGGCTACGCAAGTCTATCGATCAGATGAGCTGACGCCCATCAACGAAAATCTCACCGACGCCTCCTCGCATTGGTCGAATGAATGGCCAAAGCGAAAATCGCCGGTATCCACAAGTTCCTCAAGTCTTTATGAGACCGCCAAGCGGAAGAACGCGCTCGGACAATTCCCTGGGATTTCTGGCGATATCAAGGCTTTAGAGCAGATCCATCAAACCACTTTTGAATACCCCAAAGATGTCTCGGACGACGAGAAGGAAGCCAGCTTGCCAATGAGATCTCGAGCAGGCTCTACGGTGTCTAAAGGCCGATTACTGCCCAAAAAAGTCAGCACAAATGAAATGGAGATGCGAGAAGTGTGCAAAAAGCCGGAAGTGGTCAAGAAATTGTCGATCGTTGACTCCGTGATGCCGAGAAATATCCCAAATAAGCACTCGTTCAGCGGCGGGATCTTCGGCGAGCCAACGCCAGAACCCCCAATGATTCTGGACTTTGACGACGAAGAGGAGCTGATTCCAACAAAGAAAACGAGTGATGCTCGTCAGCCGAACTACTCCTACCCCGATCAACCGAATTACGACTACTACAACGGGTATTACGGCACGGATCTGGACAGTATGCATGACAGTGGGACTGTGCATCCACTGCTGAATGATAGCAAGGTTAACGTGGCTGTTGACGAGATGGATGAGATTGAAGCGCGGATTCAACGCGCCCACGAGAGACGTCGGAACAATCATATCCCGAAGGATAAGTCAATGGAGCGACTAACGAGACTGTTGAAGAAACTGGATGAAGAGACTAGTGAAGAGAAGATCAAGGAGAAAATACTTCCAAAACGACCGCCACGGCCGAAAAATCTCCGAAATTCGAATTTCGCGGCTCCTCCAAGGCCCGAGAAGAAGGTGAATATCAGCAAGAGTTATACCTCGGAATTGAATGCGATGAACAACAACCAAGACTTGGAGAGAAGCCCGTTGACAAGCTCTACAGATACGAACAGCTCCGACGAGAGCAATCGAAATGGCCAGCATTTTATTGTCGATCTGTCGGATGTGTAAATACGACCCCGACCAGGGAGAATCATTTATTGTAGAAAGGAATAGAAGAATAGAAGGTCTAGAAAGACAACAATCACTGATATCTGTATAAAAATGAGGGTGTTTTAGGGTTTTAAAAGGTCCTAGTTTTAGGAAATTGTGATATAATATACATATACAGTGCTGGACAAAATGATATGGTCACCACATTTTTGCGCTGGCAATTTGTCCTCAGTGAATGAATCGCTTTAATATTTGGCACAAGTGAGTACGAGGCAAGGTAACATGCACACAAAAAGTATCAAAGGATTTCAAAAAGTGCAAGGTGAGTAAAATTTGGAAAAACGCGAAACCGCCAAAAAATCGGCTGGACAAAATGATATGACCACGTGGTTTAATTCAATCTTTTACTAATCAACGCAATTTAACAAACAATCCTAGTAATGAGTGAGTCCTCCACTGATTACTAGGACTGGTATGGGGACACGTTCGGCCAGGTTTAGTCGGCTTTGAACGCGTTAAACCGTGTTTGATGCAGAGCTACCCAAATTGGCGATTATCTTCCATTAACGCTTTCTAAAACTTTTAAATGACGTTTTTATCATGTGATCTAGACGTGTAATCACCTGTACAAGCCTTCGCTTTTCGCATGAACTCCATGGTGGTCTGGTAGTGTGGATTCAGCAAACATCCGGTTACCATGTCCAGCTTTGGCGACCCATTTGCTATTTGACCCTGGGGATAGATGTGCTCCTTAGGTTTAAAATGTAACGCGGAATCTCTCTAGAATCCGACGAAGCCAAGAAAAGTCCCCGCTGACACGATCACAGCTTTGCAGATGCAACTTTGCCGACCTTCACCTTAACCAGAAAAACCGAGTTTTTCAAATGGATTTTTAGAGATGCAAAACGGCTTTCAAACGATGGCCTATGTAATTTTAGAACCTACAGCACACCTCATGCATCCTGGGCCATCAAATGAACTGTTTTTTGTCGCTAACGATCCTTTGAAAAACTTGGTTTTTCTGGTTAAGGGGCAGATCGGTGCAGTTGCATCTGCAAAGCTGTGATCGCGTCAGCGGGGACTTTTTTTGGCTTCGCCGGTTTCTAGAGAGATTCCGGATTACATTTTAAACCTAAGGAGCACATCTATCCCCAGGGTCAAATAGCAAATGGGTCGCCAAAGCTGGCCATGGTAACCGGATGTTTGCTGAATCCACACTACCAGACAACCATGGAGTTCATGCGAAAAGCGAAGGCTTGTACAGGTGATTACACGTCTAGATCACATGATAAAAACGTCATTTAAAAGTTTTAGAAAGCGTTAATGGAAGATAATCGCCAATTTGGGTAGCTCTGCATCAAACACGGTTTAACGCGTTCAAAGCCGACTAAACCTGGCCGAACGTGTCCCCATACCAGTCCTAGTAATCAGTGGAGGACTCACTCATTACTAGGATTGTTTGTTAAATTGCGTTGATTAGTAAAAGATTGAATTAAACCACGTGGTCATATCATTTTGTCCAGCCGATTTTTTGGCGGTTTCGCGTTTTTCCAAATTTTACTCACCTTGCACTTTTTGAAATCCTTTGATACTTTTTGTGTGCATGTTACCTTGCCTCGTACTCACTTGTGCCAAATATTAAAGCGATTCATTCACTGAGGACAAATTGCCAGCGCAAAAATGTGGTGACCATATCATTTTGTCCAGCACTGTAGTTGTAGTATATAGTTTTTCAACCATAATTTCGATTTTTCATTATTTTTTCGCCATTTTCATGGCGTATTTTACATTGTATACAATCGTCAAACCGGTCTAATTTGCAGATCCATCACTTTTCACATTATTTTACCCCGATCTTGTTCTGTTTTCGCCATGGAATATGTGTAATTATGTAACACAAACTGTCATCACACGGGTCTCTCACTTTTATTGCTGTACTCTCCACTAGTATTCAGAGGAAAAGAATATTTTTAACTTATCCAATAACTATATATACATACATTTTTTTGTTGTAATAAACGTTCATACTTACGTTGAAATTGGATTTTATAAAATTTCGAATCATCAGAGAGTACTGTAGCCATGAGTAAGTGTGTAGATCCCCATGAATCACGGACGATTCCTCAAATTGGAATGATTCATGGACGGGTGTTCCAACAGCAGCGCAATTTACCTCTCCATGTGTAACCAGGTGGGTGGAAAAGGTCGGCGAAAAAGGGCAAAGCAAAAAGAGACGAGCAAGAACACTATATTTATAAGAGAACAATATGTTTATGAGTTTTGTATAGAGAGCTCTCCGGAAACATTTATAGACTCTCTGATGGGAGACAGAGGTTTTTTTGGAACTTCAAGGGAAACTTTGAACTTTACTAAAAGGGTTTTTGGCTGTTAGGTAATTGAACTTTGATGACTAATACCGTGGAGAGGAATACACATACAGATAGATGCAAAGTGGCTCTCGAAACTCTGCAAGTGCGCTTTGATTAGTCCAATTATTAGATTTTGGTTTCTGTTGCAGAATTCAGCGATATTTTACAGAAAGGGTGCATATTACATGACAAAATATTGTAAATATTGTTTGTTTTTTGTATCTTTATCCATTATATCGCCCTGCTCTCACAGAACGCTCCTATTAACGTGTGAACTTCAAAAACAAAACAAAACGAAAACGATTTCATTTTCCGTAAATAAAAGCACTCGGCTTGTTCCCTACCATTATTTAATTTTGGTTTACAGCAACCTCTGGCCTCAATCTCAACCGTAATTCACGCAAGAACTTTCTTATCAGCCCTTGACTACATTTTAAGTTATAACCGCACTTCTAATCACTACGCCATTTCCGTTCTCTCGCTAGAAAAACGCATTTCGATGAAGAGGAGTTGATGCTGATTTTTGGGATTGGTTCGTCTTTTGGGGAGCATTAAACACGTTATCAGTTGAGGACTTGCTGTTTTAAGGGCCCACTTTTCATTGAGGGTTGTTTGACAAATTGTAAATGGTTGTGAGGGGTTCATAACAATTTTCTGATGATGAATTTTAAATTTTTAGAAATATTACAGATAGTCGATGATGACAAAACCATGGCGGAATGCTATATAGGAAGTAGCGCAGAGATTTACTTCAAACTGTGCTGACATATCCCAATCTTTTCCGCATGTTAATTGCTGAAAATTTTAGCTCTTGTTGAGCCGTTGCTTTGTGCATACAAAGATTTTATTTTTTTGAAACTTTTATGTAAAGGGAATCCATGGCCCCCTAAACATTAATTATACATAAAACATAAGACTCACTAAGAACTTGTGCAAGCTCCTGTATGACTTTTTTGATGGTTATAATTATTTTGGAAAAGGTTTCTGTTTCTGTTTTCCGTGCCATCTCTAATCTTCAATTTATACATCTTTTTGCAGTCACTTCCAACATGCGGGCCACCATCATCTTTTCCATTTTTCTCGTCCTCATCCTCGTCGTCTCGGCCAACCCCACGTTCCAGCGAGTGAAGCGAGGAGGTAAGTTTTAGCCTGTGAAATCTGTGTTGTCCATGTGCATCCGTCGTCCGTCAACTGTGCTCGAGTTTAATGTCGGTAATCCCCGTAAACTTGAGAGTAATATTTTTTGTTTCGCAGGTGTCCAACTCCCTTCAGGTGACAATTGCGACTCTCTCCGCTGCAACCGCTCCTGTCAAGGCCATAGTCATCGAGGCGGCAAATGCTCCATGGGGAAATGTATATGCTTCTGAGAGGATTTGTTTCAGTCATATGGGTAAAGACAGAGAACTATTTTCGGGACAAATAAACTTTGCATATCGATTGGAACTTTTTTAACAGGGGAAATACCCCAAGTGCGACGCTCAGATTTTGATGAAACTTGGCACAAACTTAAAATAATTTTTAAAATAGCCTGTTTTTTTAGTTGGAGAGGGAGGCATTTTGCCACATTTTTTGATGCTTCCCGGATGCAAAATGGTACATTTTTTGCAACTGGATCAGGACCCTCACTGTAGTGTTCTTCTCACCTTTTTCGTTTATTAATATCTTGCAAGGTCCATTTCAACAACATTATCAACTGTAATTGGAAAAATAATTGGAAAATTTGCATAATGAAGCTGTTCCTCTTTCAAATTTGCTCTAACAAACATATTGAAAAAATGCGTGTAAAAACTTGATCTGCAAAAAGTCAATAGCATTTAAAGATCATGGTCTGTTTCTGCTTTGCATTCTCTTTGCCATGGTAATGGAATCGGCCTTATGTTAGTTCAAAACCAGGAAAATGAATTGGGTAAGAAGTCGTTTTTTTTGTTGCAAAATAAAATACGAATCTCTGAGGAGTTGTGTTACGCAAAAGATTTCAGCGATACCCTTCGGGAGATGCCTGTAATCCTATCATGTGCAACAACAATTGCGGAAAGAAGAAAGAGTATCGTGGCGGTGTCTGCCAACAGGGGAAATGCACTTGCGTCCGAAACGACCGTTAACTTTGGCAAATCCTCTTTTGCTTTTAGGAATACAACACTTTTACATGAATAAAATATGTTTGTTTAACTTTGAATAAAAGAAAACTTGGCGTGGATTACGAAGCGAATTGGACGCACGTCCTCTGGGTTGTCGACTTTCTGAATTTCGAACAACTTTCCGACTAAAGATCTCGGTTATTTCTGGAAAGCAAACCTAGAAATCTCTCAAATGTCTCTGGGAAGACTACGTATCAATTTCTGAAAAATTTAGCTCGCGCTTGACGCAGATATTGGACGATCTTGCGGCCGAGAGAGTACGCGAAACCGGGGACCGGTCACAGAGAAAGAGACTTTTTAGTTATACAGTGGGGACCTGTTCAAGTGACAAAAAAACATACCATTTTGCATCGGGGAAGTATCAAAAATGTGGCAAAATACCTCCATCTCCAAGTGAAAAAACTCCGATTTCAAAATCGCGCCTGCTATTTTTGTGAGGAAGAGGGGTGAGCCCTTCAAAATTAAGGTTTTTTCACTTGAGAGGGAAGCATTTTGCCACATCTTTGATACTTCACGGATGCAAAATCGTACATTTTTTGCCACTGGATCAGGTCCCCAACTGTATCTATGCCTGTTTCAAGCAGATTTTTTTTGTCGAGACGCGGTCGTTTCTGCAAAGCGCGAGCTGGGAGTCTCGGGTATGTCATGAAAAAATTTTCCAAGTTTTTGACGGGTTTTCATCCAAAAAATGCCCTTGAGGCATTTCTGTCAGAAAGGAATGCTCCTGCTCTCTTTTGCAATGAATCTAGGGGGTTTTGTAATTTTAAACCGTTTTTTGTCTTTTATGTGACAAATAAAAACAGAAAACGTTCCGTAATTAAAAAAAATTAAAATGTAATCTACCATCAGATTTAAATTTTAATGAGGGTCGAAAAATTACAGGAGTGATCGATGGGGTAAGACCAAAAACATGACGGAATGCTAGGGAGTAGCGCAGAGATTCACTTTAAATTGTGATGACATATCCCATCCGTTCCGCCTTTTTATTGCCGAAAATTTTAGTTCTCGACGAGTCGTTGTGTTGTGCATACGCAGATTGAACTTTTTTGCAACTTTCATGTAAAAGGCCTAAAAATTATTCATGCACCATAAGACTCGTTAAGACTCATTAACTCCTGAATGGCTTTGATGTGTATAAATATTTTGAAAACGGTTTCTGTTTCCATTTTCCGTGCTGTGAACAACCTCCATCTAACCCCAAATCTTCAATTTATACATCTTTTTTCAGTCACTTCCAAGATGCGGGCCACCATCATCTTCTCCATTTTCCTCGTCCTCATCCTCGCCGTCTCGGCCAACCCCACGTCCCAGCCAGTGAAGGGAGGAGGTAGGTTTTAGCATTCGAAATCTGTGTTGTCCATGTGCATCCGTCGTCCGTCAAATGTGCTCGAGCTTAATGTCGGTAATCCCCATAAACTTGAGAGTAATCCATTTTGTTTCGCAGGTCTCCAACTCCCTTCAGGTGACAATTGCGACCCTCTCCGCTGCAACCGCGCCTGTCAAGACCATGATTATCGAGGCGGCAGTTGCTCCATGGGGAGGTGTATATGCTTCTGAGAGGATTCGTTTGAGTCATATGCGCAGAAACAGCGAATTATAATATTTTCGGGACTAATAAACTTTGCATATCAATTGGAATTTTGTTAATAGGGGAAATATGTATATACCCCAAGTGCGACGCTCAGATTTTGATGAAACTTGGCACAAATTTATAATAATTTTTTCTAAAAGATGTGCGAGAATCTTAGCTCACGCTTTGCAGAAACAACCGAGATTTTTAAATCGAAAATTGGCGAAAATTTGACAATTTTTGCCGAATTTCGGCACGAAAAGTTTTATGCCTATTTCTACCATAGAAGGTAATGTTTAAAAAAATAATTTTTTCCGCGCAAAGCCGTAAAACTTATGGCTAAAAGTGTTCTTGGAGTTCCTGTGTGACTTTGCGTGGATTTAAAAAACCGGTTTAGTGTTCAAAAAAAACTTTTTCTCACATCTTTTTCATTTATTAATATTTTGCAAGGTCCATTTCAACAACATTCTCAACTGTAATTAAAAAAAATAATTGGAAAATTTGCATAATGAAGCAGTTCCTCTTTCAAATTCGTTCTTACAAACATATTGAAAAAATGCGTATAAAAACTTGATCCGGCATTTTTGTCAAAATGGAATAGTTCTGCTCTCTTTTGTAATGAATCTAGGGGATTTTGTATGATAATTCCAAACCGTTTTCATTTTTTATGTAACAAATAAAAACAGAAAATTTTCCGTTATTAAAAAAATGAAAATTAAATCTACCGTCATATTTTAATTTCAATTCATCTGTTTATATTGGCTATTGGAACCAATATAAACAGAATTGCTTTGAACAATCTTGTAAAGCGACGTAAGACATGAAGTTTACACTTTTTCTAGCTGTTCTTTTGGTCCTGCTTGCTTCAGTCTCTGCCATGAAAGGTAGGCAAAGTTTTATAAAAAACCTTTTAAAAAACCTGTCCGTATCTTCAGAGAAGAAATGCGACGAGGCAGATTGTCGCAAATTCTGCATCAAGAGTGGCTATCGGTTTGGGGGATGGTGCATTTAAAGGACCACAAAAGGTATTTTTTGAACCGAAATTTGCTCGGCTAAAAAATTGACTATCAGGGATTTTCGCGTCGAGAAAATTCCGAAGAACAAATGTTCTCGATTTTTTTTGGAACAAAAGATTTTCTGAGGTTCTGTTCTGACCTCCTTGTAGAGTGTGTAGCAACGTGATTCGATACAATGGAGGATCATCCCTGACTTTGCGGCCTAATTTGGACCTCTACCTCGAAAACAACATGTAAGTCAATATTTTAGTGTTTCTGGCTATTTTAGGCAATTTTTACGACGACGAAGCAAGAAAATGAGTTTAGTATCAAAATTAGCCATCCAGGAGTGCTGGTGGTCGAGTTTTTGAGAAGATTGAGTCAAAAATGTTGACCAGAATACCTAGTATAATATAGTTTTTTCCAGGAATTAAAATGAAGATGCGGCCAGACGGCTTCATTTTTGCCACGAGGACTCGCAAAAGCATCTAACGAGGTATCAGGCCGGTGTAAATCAATGAAGGTTCAACATTTTGGCTTTTCATTGAGCTGATGTCAAAATCTGAAAGGTGAGGTTTGCCCTTGTTTTCATGGTTTAGGTGAGGAAATCTTTGCTCCGTGAGCAAGAAAATCGGTTTGGCTTCCTAATGATGCTATCTTGACTGTGGTTGCACCATTTTGCGCCATAATAATAGCAAAGCCATGATCAGTCGGTCCAGTATAACATAATTTTTTCAGGCGAATCCTTCCAAGGCCGCTAAGCTTCGACTATGTGAACCAGCTGTGAAAGCATGGACAATAAGAAGGTCTCATCATGAAAAAACCGGAAGGACTGAACCAATTTATTATCTTGTACATAGTAACAATAATGTATAATATTTATAATAAAGTAATAACGGCTATTACAGAATCCGTCAAAATTGTTTTACTGAGCCCTTTGGGTCAGGCTGGCGGGCATGGGAGCGGAGTGGGCCGGGATTCCTGCAAATCGAGAGGGATTCGCCTGAAAAAATTATATTATACTGGACCGAGTGATCATGGCTTTGCTATTAGTATGGCGCAAAATGGTGCAACCACAGTCAAGATAGCATCATTAGGAAACCAAACCGATTTTCTTGCTCACGGAGCAAAGATTTCCTCACCTAAACCATGAAAACAAGGGCAAACCTCACCTTTCAGATTTTGACATCAGCTCAAGGAAAAGCCTAAATGTTGAACGTTCATTGATTTATACCGGTCTCATACCTCGTCAGATGCTTTTGCGAGTCCTGGTGAAAAGAATGAAGCCGTCGGGCAGCATCCGGATTCGAATTCCTGAAAACGTATATTACACTAGAGATTTTGGTCAATTTTTTGACTATAACTTTCCAAAAACTCGGCCAACAGCGCTCCTCGATGCCTTATTACGGAACTACACTCGTTTTCTTGCTCTGTCATGTCAAAAATTACCTAAACTCGCTAAAAACACTAAAATATTGACTTACATGTTGTTCTCGAGGAGGTGGTCCAAATTGAAACTGCGAAAACGGTCATAATGCTTCTTGCATCAAGTCAAATTGCCAGACAATGTACAAGGAGCTCTGAACAGAAGCTCGGAAAATCTTTTCATCCGAAAATAAACCGACAACATTTGTTCTTCGGAATTTTCTCGACGCGAAAATCCCTGATAGTCAATTTTTTAGCCGAGCAAATTTCGGTTCAAAAAATACCTTTTGTGGTCCTTTAAAGGGTTCTGTCAATGCAATGGCGAGACAATGCAGGACCCTCATAACAATGGGCAGCGCTAAGACTTTTTGGGAGGTCCTCGTATCTTATAAATGATTGAGAGTATACAGTAACGACCGCTGTGTTAACATAATATTTGTTAAATCTTGCTTTAACCCTTTCCGGACGAGTCGGCACGTATATATTAAAATGACAGAGGGTACCCTACTGAGTAACGGCATAATAGTGGTTCAGCCCATCGAAGCGTTATTTGGGACTTATGACAAAAAATGTCCTTAAAAGTACCCCTACTTGACATATCACTTTTAAAATTTTTGCGACAAGCTGTAAATCGGAAACTACCCCTAAATTAAAGTCGAGGAGTCCTAGTATTGTTACATCCAAGAACTGTCCAAATCGGAGCACCATAGGATTTGTTATCGATTTTTGGAAATTGAATTTTTAATTTTGGTCAATTTTGGACCTAAAATCAAGTATATCTTCCGCCGGTATCAACCATTTCGGTCCAAACGTGGTTTTTCCGAATCTATTGTGATGCTACCTTCTTACTAGAATATTTCCACAAAAAACCTATGAGGCATATTTCTGTAAAACGCGGAAATGTTGAAAGTGTAAAGGTTTGATCGTATAAAATGTCGCCGCAAGTCGCGGAGGGACGGGCGCAGCTCGAAACGAGAAAATATTTTAAAATTTTTCCAGAAGTTTGATTTTAGCGTGAAACCAAATTAAACTCGATTGAAATTACCTGAAAACAGAGTAAAAATATAAAAATGACATTTAGGTAATGTTTGCGTGCTATTTCTGCCTGTATTTCGTGTTGAAATCAGCTTTTCGACACCAAAATAATATTTCTCGAAGAAAAAATTATTATTTTCTCGTTTCGAGCTGCGCCCGTCCCTTCGCGGCTCGCGGCGACATTTTATACGATGAAACCTTTAGATTTTGAACATTTTTGCGTTTTTCCGAAATATGCCTCATAGGTTTTTTCTGGAAACATTCTAGGAAGAAGCTAGCATCAAAATAAATTTGGAAAAACCACATTTGGACCGAAATGGTTGATGTCGACAGAAGATATACTTGATTTTAGGTCCAAAATTGACCAAAATTAAAAATTCAATTTCCAAAAATCGATAACAAATCCTATGGTGCTCCGATTTGGACAGTTCTTGGATGTAACAATACTAGGACTCCTCGACTTTAATTTAGGGGTAGTTTCCGATTTACAGCTTGTCGCAAAAATTTTAAAAGTGATATGTCAAGTGGGGGTACTTTTAAGGACATTTTTTGTCATAAGTCCCAAATAACGCTTCGATGGGCTGAACCACTATTATGCCGTTACTCAGTAGGGCACCCTCTTTCATTTTAATATATACGTGCCGACTCGTCCGGAAAGGGTTAACGAACTTTCTATTTCAATAAAACTCAACTTGTTTTAATGGTTAAGCTCGTCAATTCTCTCAGAATTGACGATGTAAAAGGTTTTTGGAGGCATCCGACATTTTTAACGACTATTGAAGTGTATGGTATGTTGATGTAATCAACAGTAAGAGAATGATTTTTGACTGGTTTAGAGGTGGCAATCGGGCCGGGCCGGGCCGATTTTTGCGGCCCGGCCCGCGGGCCGAAGTGACCAGGCCGGCCCAGGGCTTTTTCAAATTTGCTCAGGCCCGGCCCGGCCCGGCCCGATGAAAGCCCAGGCCGGCCCGGCCCGGCCCGGTTTGGCCCGCTAATACAGAAAAGTTGGATAAAAGTCTTTGCATTTTCTACTGGAAGTTCTTATGCTTTCCAGAAGGTTTTTACGTGTGTCTGCGTGAAATTAAAAAGTCTAGTCGGATGACTGGAACATCCGTATATGTAGGTAGAAAACCTAGCCAAAAAGTTGGATTGTGTTGAATTTTTTAATCCTCTAGGAAGTTAGCTATATAAAAGTATGGACGTTATGAGGTAAATGGTTAACCAAAAACTGGTTAAACACTTTTTATTTACATCAAGGAATCAAAATTACAGTGAAATTTTTAAATTTATCATAAAAAATTCGAAGATTTTTGCCTGACCCTTGCATATTTGGGTGGGATTTTACATATACATAATAAGTTACACATACATATACATAATTTTAAAAGGTACTAAAACAGCATATAAGTCAAAAAAGGTTTAATCTAATTTCCATCCATTCTACAAAGCATTTGTGCTCTATTTTGCTGGCTTAACATTAAACATTTTTTACTTAATTAACCTTCCGGGCGGGCCGGGCCGAAAGTGTCGGCCCGGCCGATGGGCCGAAGCGGTCAGGCCGGCCCAGGGCTTTTTCAAATCTGCTCAGGCCCGGCCCGGCCCGGCCCAATCACCGGGCCCGGCCGGGCCGGGCCGGGCCGGCCCAGCCCGATTGCCACCTCTAGACTGGTTGGAAATCAATATGAAAACCTATTACAGTGACGGACTTGATCCAGTGGCAAAATACTTGCCATTTTGCATCCGGGAAGTAAAACAAATGTCGCAAAATACCTCCCTCTCCAAGTGAAAAAACTCCGATTTCAAAAGCGCGGCCGCTCTTTTTTGTGAAGGAAAAGGCGCCTCCTTCAAAACAAAGTTTTTTCACTTGGAGGGGGAGACATTTTGCCACATTTTTGATGCTTCCCGGATGCAAAATGGTACGCTTTTTGCGACTGGATCAGGTCCGCCACTGTAGATTAAAATTTCATATACGCTCAGACAACATTTTATAAAGACAAGTCTTTTTCAATAAACAGCAGTTTTGACAAATCGATGAAGCCGATAATCTTTTTAATTTTTTCCTTTGCACATTTTGGTTTGATCGCCGCAATGAAGGGTAAGTAATAAAATAGCGGTAACACGTGATGTATTTTTTTTCCAATCTCAGAGGCCGTATGCGACAACGGCGACTGTAACCAGGTTTGCAAAAACAGCGGTTTTCAAGGCGGTCGTTGGACAAATGCATATGCAATATAACAACAAGATAGACATCCTTCAAGTAATAAGTGTTGAAGAGGAATCAATTTTGATTGCGAGAATCCAAAAACGCCTTCATTACCATATATATTACACATTAAAATCACAAAAAAAACTTTAATTTTTATCGAATACGGCAATTTTTAATTAAAACAGAAATTGATTTGCAATTTATTATTAACAAATATCCTACTATATAAGCTCACAAATCGGATACTAACATATATCAAAAATGCGTTTCCTTTTGCTGACCTTCCTCTTCTTCGTTATCGTTTCCGTGGCCGCATCGCAAACTCAGCCACCACGTAAGTCACAAAATATATATGTACACGGATCTTCAATTCTAGAACACTGCGATCCAAAGGAGTGCGCCCGGCTTTGCAAGAAACAAAACCATCTCACGGGGCATTGCATCAACGATGTATGTGTCTGCGTATAAGTGCACGAAACATACATACGGTACTGTGACAAAACGTGTTGCTTTTTCAATTTGAAAAATATAAAATTAAACTTAAGGTACTACCGTTGCATTCCAAATAAATTATTCCTTATAATAGCTGCATTGATGTTTTATTTTAACTTCAAGTCAATTTGAAAGTGACTTTAATTTAGCTTATGTACAGTGGGCGACCTGATCCAGTGGCAAAAAACGTATTATTTTGCATCCGGGAAGGATCAAAAATGTGGCAAAATGCTTCCCTCTCCATGTGAAAAAACTTCGTTTTGAAGGACGCACCCTTTTTCCACACAAAAATAGCGGGCGCGCTTTTGAAACCTGAGGTTTTTTCACTTGGTCAGGGAACCATTTTGCCACATTTTCGATACTTCCCGGATGCAAAATGATACGTTTTTGCCACTGGATCAGGTCCCACACTGTATGTTGGACAATTAATTACAAACAGATGAAAAATCGGAAGAAATAAATAAATAAATTTGCTAATGAAATTCATTGAACAAGCCTAATTTTGATTTTCAATTTCAAAGCTTGCGATTGGAAGATTATTCAACGACGATGAGGATAAATGTAATTTCAGTTATTGTAGTATTGGGCTATCTACTCTCTGTTGCCAATGCAGTCGATGAAACTTTATTCGGTAAAGTTACAGTGGCGAACCTAACTCATTGGCTAAAAACGTGCCATTTTGCATCCGGGAAGCATCAAAAATGCAGCAAAATACCTCCCTCTCCAAGTGAAAAAACTACGATTTCAAAAGCGTGAGGAAGAGGGCACGCAGTTAAAAACATAGTTTTTTTAGTTGTAGAAGGAGGTATTTTGCCACATTTTTGATGCTTCCCGGATGCAAAATGGTACGTTTTTTTCCACTGGATCAGATCCCTCACTGTATTTTCGCCTCCTAAAGCAAACAAAAAGTTTATTTATTTATTTTATTTAAAGAATTTTGAAGATTCGAGAACATTGTGAGAAATCATTACATACGATTTGCTTTAGGAAACTGTCTGCCGAAGATTTGCATCCAGAAATGCCGGCTAGAGAAGGGACGAATTGGTGGGTGCTGCATTAAGGACGAATGCAGATGCTGGGTGGAACATTTGCCGCCGTACGAAAATTAAGGCCTTTTTTTGATGACCGACAACTGTTTTCTCGAAATAAACATTATTATCATCAATTTCTTGGAATTTTTGTTAACAATCATAAGATAAGATCCAAAATCAAAGGTTTAAGATTAACATGGAATATATTGCGACCTTGAACGCTTAAAAATTTGTCGTTTTTTGTGTATAAATTGATGACTCATCTGTTACCTTGTAATTGACAAAAAAGTGAATTAAAATTTCAACTAATACATAAACAAACGGCTTAATGAGGTTTCTAAGCCTAATTAAAATCCAATAAACAATCGAGATTCTTATTTTTGCTTTTCCCTGTCTATTATACTTGTTGCATTACAGTTGGCGAATATGAAGTTATGGCTATTAGTGGTAATGATGGTTACTGCCTTTACGATGTTGATTAGTGCCCGTGAGTCTGTCTAGTTCCAACTACAGTCTATTAGCGATACCATCAACGCAATTTCTAAATTTATTTTGACTTTAGAAGGCGTCGGATACTGTTTTGACAGCCCATGCGACCAGAAGTGCCGATTATATAACCATGTGGGCGGATGTTGTGTAAACGAGCAATGCAGATGTTATGAGTAATAAACTGTCCTCAATTGAGATATTCCACTATCAATAAACTTATTTAATTAAACTTGTTCGACCCATAAAAAATGTCATCTTTTTGCTTAGAGCCACACATGACCCAAATGAAGTTTTGGGTCAACTCTTTCTCGAAAAATAAAAATATTTTCGGATTTTTTTATCGCAAAAGTAGGAGAAACAAAGATGTTTGTGCAAATAAGAACGTTGTAAGCTAATATTTGACTAACTTTTTTCACAGTAAGTTTTCAACTTTTTCCTTGGATTGTTGTTGATTTAGGTGATCAATTTCGAGATGAACAAGATTTGACACTTCAAACAAGGTGAAGCCGGTGAAAAGGTTATGTAAGATGAGAGACTATTGGTCCCACTAGCTTGGAAAATATTCTTTTTGTTTTATAGAATTGTTTTTGCGAAAAAATTTATATTATTTTTTTCTTGGGTCTAAAATTTTGATCAGATCAGTAAAACATTGTGAAACACTAGACTAATTTCCCCAAAACTCACTCTAATTTATTTTCTTCAAAAATTGCAAAACGTGTTCCCTTTTGATGGACAGCAGTTTTGATCAGTCGACGTCACGAATTACGTAATTGACCTTTCTTCGACCATTTTTATAATCTCGTTGGGTGCAACACAAAAAAACCCCTAAACGCCTCACGTCAGTGGTCTTGCACAACTCAGATTGTAACAGTTATCAAGAAACTGGGCTGGCCATTGGTGTTTCCATCAATTCTCCCTTCAACGTACGAGTTTTTATCAGGGAATGGGCTTGTTTAACTTTGTTTTCTAAACGAGCGAAGCATAAGACAACAAATTGACCGAACTCGGTTTAAAAAACTGCTATTTAAGAGGTCGGTTCTGTGATTTTTCCACCTTCTCTTGGTCTCTGGAAGCGGGGGTGGAAGGTTTCTTCGGGTAATTTTGGTGTAGTGTAATATCGGAAGTGATGTTGGATAATATACATTTTTGATAAAGGCGTATTTTAATTTTAATTTGGGTGAAGAAAAAGTGGATTGGAAATTTTTTAGTTGCCTGGAATTGTTGGGAAAGAGCAAAAAATACGTTATCTAAAGTAATATCAGAATTGCTCATGGATAATATATTTTGAGCGTTGTTTTACAAGGAAAGTACTTCTATAGAGTATGGTGTTACAGGCCGAGACATACAGGGTGGTTCAGCTAAGTTCGCGGATGTAAAATGCTTATAACTTTTTATAGGATTGTTCAATTTTTATGATCAATAGCTCATTTTATTCCTTAGTAGTTACCATTTTGTTTAAAAGAAAGATCATTAAAAATGATCAATCCTACGTCGAGTTATGACCCTTCAAAGTCAAACTTGCCTTTTCACGCTTCAATCTGAAAATTTCCGAAAAATCTCGAAAATCGCTTATAACTTTCGACCAGTCGATAATTGTAAATTGTAAGTGGGCTTCAGAAGTCATAGAATTTTGCGTAGAATACGATGGAATCAAAAAAAATCCGAAAATCCGAAAAAATCCGTAAATTTTTTTAAAATTTACGTGAAAAAGCATGTTTGACTTTGAAGGGTCATAACTCGACGTAGGACTGATCATTTTTAATGATATTTTTTTTAAACAAAATGGTAACTACTAAGGAATAAAATGAGCTATTGCCCATAAAAATTGAACAATCCTATAAAATGTTATAAGCATTTTACATCCGCGAACTTAGCTGAACCACCCTGTATATCAAAAAATTGCAAAATTTTTCTCATTCAGAATGTGTAAAAGTTAGCTGCTTAATTTTGGTTTGTAAGGGTGAAAAATCCTCTGAACTTTTCTCGCAACACCACACAAATGCCGCTTTTTTATATTGGAACTACTAATTAAGGTGTAGTATTAATCAAATTTGAGATTTTAAGGTTTGTCAGGATGCCAGGGTTTACTTTAGCTCAAAACAAAGCTTTTGAATTGCTAAAATCTTGGTCAAAAAGGCATTAGCATGGTATTGCGAGAAAAGTGCAGAGGATTTTTTCACCCTTTCAAACCAAAATTAGGCAGTTAACTTTTACATATTCTGAATCAGAAAAATTTTGCGATTTGTTGATATATGTCTCGACCTGTAACTCCATACCCCATAGAAGTACTTTCCTTGTAAAACAACACCGACCTCAAAATATATTATCCATGAGCAATTCTGATATTACTTCAGATAACGTATTTTTTGCTCTTTCCCAACAATTCCAGGCAACTAAAAATTTTCCAATCCACTTTTTCTTCACCCATATTTAAATTGAAATACGCCTTTATCAAAAAATTATATCATCCAACATCACTTCACTTTTCTCGACATTACACTACACCAAAATTACCCGAAGAAACCTTCCACCCCCGCTTCCATAGACCAAGAGAAGGCGGAAAAATCACAGAACCGACTAGAAGTACTTTCCTTGTGAGCCAAATATCGAGTTGATTTTTCCACTTAACTCCGTTTTTGTATCTAAATCTTTACAGACATGCACAAGATCCATCGTTCTTCCTTTCTCACTCATTCTCCTCGCCTTTTTCTTGCTCATCGCCTCAAACATTGGTCCCGATCTCTCTTCAAAGTGGACGAATCCTCAGAAAAGCATGGTGGAGATTTGGTCGCCAAAACGTTGAAATCGCACGGAGTCCAGGAGGTATTCACTCTGTGTGGAGGGCATATCACCCCAATTTTGGTGGGATGCGAGTCCTTGGGTATCAGAGTTGTGGATACGAGACATGAGGTCACAACCGTTTTTGCCGCCGACGCTGTGTCGAGGCTGAGACAAGACCTTGGAGTGGCCGCTGTTACGTCGGGGCCAGGTAAGGAGTCTAGTCTTGAATGAATTTTATCAACTTTTCAAACATTTTTTTTTTTATTTTCAATCAAAAAATGATGATTTTTCCTCAAAAATTGCCATGGACAATATATTTTTTCCTTGACCGTCTCATTTTCAGGTGTTACGAACACTGTAACTGCCATGAAGAACGCGCAAATGGCCGAATCCGCCCTTCTTTTGCTTGGTGGAGCCGCTCCGACCACCATGCAGCATCGAGGAGCGCTTCAAGATATCGATCAACTTTCCATCTTCAAACCGGTTTGTAAGCATACGGCCAGAGTCACCAGAGTGCGGGATATTATTCCCACGTTGAAGGAGAGCATCCAAATTGCCAAATCGGGAACTCCGGGGCCGGTCTTTGTCGAGATCCCAATTGATTTGCTCTATCCGTATGAGCAGGCGTTCAGAGATGCGATTATCAAAAGACCAGCGAATTTGACACAGGTACGGGGATGTATTGTTATGTGGGTTCGCGATAAATGTTGTATAACGGCCTTTTTGGGCCCTATTTTAGAGATTCTTCACTGTCTTTTTTAGAAAATTTTTTATGATGATTTTTATGATTATCATGATTTTGTGCTAACAAGGAAAGCATTTCTATGGAATATGGAGTTGCAACACCACGCAAATGCCCCTTTGACCAAGTTTTTACCAAATCAAAGGCTTTGTTTTCAGCTAAAGTAAACCTTGGCATCTTGACAAGCCTTAAAATATCAAATTTGATTAATACTACATCTCAATTAGTAGTTCCAATATAAAAATGGGGAATTTATGTGGTGTTCCGAGAAAAGTTCTGAGGATTTTTTTCACCCTTACAAACCAAAATAAGGCAGCTATTATTCTGAATCAGAAAAGTTTTGCGATTTTTTTGATATATGTCTTGACCTGTAACTCCATACCCCATAGAAGTACTTTCCTCGTAAAATTTCTCATCAGTTAATTTTTTCTTTTCAAATTGCGATATTTGCCTTTTCCAGAAGATCTACAACGAATATGTGAGGGCTAGGATCAATTACGAGTTCCATAATGGCTTCACGAACCAAGATACGACCCCACTTTCTCTTACAATACCAACTGCCAAGAATGGAGAGGTCAAAAAAGTGGCAGATCTAATCAAAAGTTCGAAGAAACCTCTCTTACTGCTGGGAAGTCAAGCTACGTTGGGCCCAGTATCAGCCCACGAACTTCAAAAGATAGTCAATGTAAGAATTCGAAATTTTTTTTGTTATTTTAGGCCTGTTTTTGAGTGTTTCACCGTTTATTTTTAGGATCTAGGGATCCCATGTTATCTTGGAGGCATGTGTAGAGGACTGCTGGGTCTGGGCTCACCCATTCAGCTCAGGCAGAACAGAAGAGGAGCCCTGAAAGAGGCCGATCTGGTGATTTTAGCGGGCACTCCCGCTGATTTCCGATTGGATTATGGAAAAATTTTGAGTCCAAACTCGAAAGTAGTGGCAATAAATCGAAGTGCGGACAATTTGAAGAAGGTAAGAGAAGATTTTTAGGCATTATTGGTAATTACGAATAATTGGAAAATTTGAAATTTGAATTTCCCGCGGTTTTTGGCATTGTGTTTTGTGGAGTTGGACGATTGAGGAAACCGAAAAGTATTATTTTTCTTCGATGCAAGTGTCGAAATTAGGATAATCGAGGGTGCTGATTTCGAAAATGGCATTCGTTTTTTTTGATCTTTACTTTTTTTCGTAAGTAGTACTGTAAAGCAGTAATTTTTTGATTTTTTTTCACAAATACTCGATTTGGAGGGTTTCGATGGTGCTGATTTTGAAGATTTTTTTTATGATTTGAAAGCAGCACCATCGAAAACCCCTAAATCGAGTATTTGTGAAAAAAATCAAAAAATTACTACTTTACAGTACTACTTACGAAAAAAGCAACTATCAAAAAAGTGAATGTCATTTTCGAAATCAGCACCCTCGATTATCCCAATTTCCGCACTTGCATCGAAGAAAAATAATACTTTTCGGTTTCGCCGAACTTTTCCCCAATTGTTCCGTCTTTTGTGATGGTTTCGAGCTTTGAAGTGACTGTTTTTTGGCAATCAAGAGATGAAGTCATGTAATACTGAGAAAGAAGAAGTATTTGTCCCATATTTTAAAAATGAAGTTTAAAAAAATTTATATTTTTTTCAGAATCACGGAATATATTGGAACTCGGAAGCTCGCCTTCAAGCTGACGTCGCATCAACCCTAAAAGACCTTCGAAATCGGCTAACAAGCAGTTTGGAGGCAAAAAAGAACGATTGGTCGGGGTGGTTGCACATTTTGAAAGAAGTCGAGGAGAAAGTTGAATCCAAAAATGCCCATAAAGCTGATCAACCCGGCATTGGGCAGGGCGTAAATCCGCTGAAATTGCTCAAGGAATTTGATAAGGTAAGAGGTTTTATTGGGAGATTGGTTTGAAAAATACAGTGGGGAAGCTGATCCAGTGGAAAAACGTGCCATTTTGCATCCGGGAAGAATCAAAAATGTGGCAAAATGCTTCCCTCTCGAAGTGAAAAAACTTCTTTTTGAAGGGCTCCCTCACAAAAATAGGGGACGCGATTTTGAAATCCGAGTTTTTTCTCTTGAAGAGTGAAGCATTTTGCCACATTTCTGATACTTCCCGGATGCAAAATGACACGCTTTTTGCCACTGGATCAGGCCCCCCACTGTATATTTGAAGAGCTTTTCCATCGTCCAATTTTGTTATGGAGAATATAAAAACTTGGATTTTCAGGTCCTTCCTGACGATGCGATCCTAATCGCCGATGGTGGGGACTTTGTGGCGACTTCATCTTATATTATCAGACCACGAGGCCCCCTCCAATGGCTGGACCCCGGACAGTTTGGCACCCTCGGTGTTGGTGGTGGATTTGCTTTGGGCGCCAAAACGGTCTTCCCAAACAAACCCGTCTTCATCATATATGGAGATGGCTCCACCGGCTACTCATTAATGGAATTTGACAGTTTTGCCAGGCAAAATTTGCCAGTTACCGCACTTGTTGGCAATGATGCTTGCTGGACTCAGATTGCCAGAGCGCAGGTCCCACAGTTTAATACGGATGTGGCATGTGGTTTGAAAGTGAGTTTAGAGGGGATGACGTCTTTTGCATACGTTAGAATATGGGGCTTTTTACGTTTGAAATGTTTGAATTTCCCGCCAAAATTTGAAATTCTTGGCATTGTGTTTTAGGTGGTTAGAAAAGTCAGATTCGTAAATCTAAGCTATTTTTTATGTCAGCAGTCTTTAATTACTCCAAAATTTTTTTATTTCATAGCTGAGTTTTAGCTTACTCACTACGAAGACACAGTAAAATCGTTGGGCGCCGACGGATTTTTCATCGACAAATCCAATGAAAGTAGCATTGGAGAGGTCGCCAAAAAAGCCATTGAATCCCAAAGAAATGGAAGACCAAGCCTGGTGAATGTCCACATATCAAAAACTGATTTTAGGGATAATAGTATTAGCGTGTAGATATTAAAAATTAGGAATTTTTATACTGTACTTGACTTGAAGCTAATAAATTATATTTCGTTGACAGTGCAGGAGCATTTTGACTACTTTTGGGAAGTGTATTTTGTTTAAAAAAAAGAAATTTTTATATTATCCATGACACAAAAAATTTTTTTTTAATTTTTTTGCTTTTTTAAGGCAAAATATTGCGTATTCTTTATTGAGAAGCGCTCTCAACATTAAATTATTACAATGAAACGTCAAAAAATGGAATAAAATTATATTAATTTAGACAAAGGAAGACCGAAATTTGATAAGGAATTGGACCCGGGGATACATAATAATGTATAAATTAATTTCGAATATACAGACAGGCAGGCTAGTTACACTTTTTGAGTGTCTACGGGCAGAAACCGCACGATTTTTTGCAGAAGACCCGCATGAATTTGGATTCGTTTTTGCATTCGCCCATCCTCGACCAGTAGCCGCAGAAAACGTTCTTGTCGATGCACACTCCCCTCATCTGAACTCGGTTTACCGGCTCGGGAGAGCGCGGGGGCTTTGAGGGCTTGGATGCCTTAGGCGTTGTCCGGGAAAGCTCGGGATCTGGACCTGAAATTGGGGGTTTTTTTTGGATTCGCATGGCTGGAAAAGCTGGCTAGACCGATATGAATAACTATGTTTTAAAAGGTCGGAGTTAAGTGAAAACAAGTTTTCTCAAAGCCTAAGGCTTTAAGAAAATTTGAGACCGCGTTTTGCCGTAACCGTCGACATTTTTTATTGGCGATTTTTGAGTGTGATGCTTATGCGTAAAATTTTATGCATTAATCACTTGACCAAGAGACACAATTTTTTTTTGAGTTTGTATAGTTTCTCCGGAAACAGGACACTCCGCCGAGGCAGTAAGATTTTTAATTACAGTGACGGACCTGATCCAGTGACAAAAAACGTGTTATTTTGCATCCGGGAAGCATGAAAAATGGAACTGGGACGATTGGGGAAAAAGACGATTGGGGAAAGGGACGATTGGGGAAAAAGACGATTGGGGAAAAGTACGATTGGGGAAACCGAAAAGTATTATTTTTCTTCCATGCAAATGTCGAAGTTAGGACAATCGAGGGTGCTCATTTCGAATATCGGGTTTATTTTTTCTGAACATTACTAGTTTTCCTTAAGTAGTACTGTTAAGTACTAATTTTTTAAAAATTTTCGAAAAGTACTGGATTTAGGGGATTTCGAAGGTGCTGGTTTCGAAAATCATGTTCATTTTTCCTCTAGTACTATATAGTACTATTCTGATACTATATAGTACGATGTCAAAATATGGCTTTTGACGTTAATGGTGTTGTTTTGATGCTTAGTACTCTTCAAAAACACGTTTTAAAGACTTGGTGCTATATAGTACTGTCTGATACTATGTAGTACGAAGTGTAAAGTTGGCTTTTAGGCGTTCGTGGTGTTGTTCTGGTGCTTAGTACGCCTATTTTTACTTCGTACTGCATAGTATCAGACAGTACTATATAGCACCAAGTCTTTAAAACGTGTTTTTGAAGAGTACTAAGCATCAAAACAACACCATTAACGTCAAAAGCCATATTTTGACATCGTACTATATAGTATCAGAATAGTACTATATAGTACTAGAGGAAAAATGAACATGATTTTCGAAACCAGCACCTTCGAAATCCCCTAAATCCAGTACTTTTCGAAAATTTTTAAAAAATTAGTACTTAACAGTACTACTTAAGGAAAACTAGTAATGTTCAGAAAAAATAAACCCGATATTCGAAATGAGCACCCTCGATTGTCCTAACTTCGACATTTGCATGGAAGAAAAATAATACTTTTCGGTTTCCCCCAATCGTACTTTTCCCCAATCGTCTTTTTCCCCAATCGTCCCTTTCCCCAATCGTCTTTTTCCCCAATCGTCCAACTCCGATGAAAAATGTGGTAAAATGCTTCCCTCTCCAAGTGAGAAATCTTCGGTTTGAAGTTTTTTTCCTTTTCCCTCACGAAAAGAGCGGGCGCGCTTTTGAAATCGGAGTTTTTTCACTTGGAGAGGGAAGCATTTTGCCACATTGTTGATACTTTCCCGGATGCAAAATGGTACGTTTTTTGCCGCTGCATCAGGTCCCCCACTGTATTAGAGTATAAACGTAGGATTTTGAAGGCACTCTGATGGGTAAGCTTTACAGAACCCATTTTTAGTCTACAGGCTCCAATTTCTAACACAACTCACGTTCTTTTACAAACTCCACACTTTCGACGCAAAGCCCGCAGGCTTTTCGACAATAATGTCCCATATATTTTGCCGAGTGCTCGCAATGACCCAGCCGTTCCCACATCTCACAATGAGCATTCAAATTCAAGCACATTTCCACCTTTTTGGCGGTCTTGACCTTATTTGTAATCGTGAATTTGGGCCGTTTCGTCGTGAAAATGGGACGGGTCCGCTCTTCCGAAGAAGTCGTCGAGGGGTCAATGATGGACTCGGGAGTGGTTGTACGAGGTCGTGTCGCAATTGTAGTGCGTTGACCGCCGTAACGGTCGGTCAAATGTTTCCAACGATCGGAAGTGGTGCGGGTAAAAAGAACTGTCGGCGAGTTGGTCGAGACTGTCACGATAGAAGAGATGGCTCTGAAAAAGAGTGATCAGTCCATTCTGCGTTGTGTTGAGACTAAAATTTTGTATGATAAACTTTTCCTGACCCGTTTCGATATCAAAATTATAATATTTTCCCCATGACAATTTTTTATTTTTTTGTCGCAAAAATCGTGGATGTATGACGTAGTTCGATTTTTTTATAATGAAGTCCGGCAACTTAATGAAGAATTCCCTTGATTATTTTGCCAATTTTGCGGTAAAATTTATATTGCCCATTATCATTGTTATAGTTTTTTTGTCTAAAGAGGCGTACTATCCAAAAAACGTCCGGTTGGAAAGCCAAGTGGGGACTCGAATTTTTGTTTCTCGACTGGTATTGCGTTTTACCTGTATACAGTGACGGACTGATCCAGTGGCAAAAAACGTACCATTTTGCATCAGGGAAGGATCAAAAATGTGGCAAAATACCTCCATCTGTAAGTGAAAAAACTCCGATTTCAAAAGCGCGCCCATCCTTTTTGTGAGGGAAAGGCCGCCCAAAACGAATTTTTTTTCGCTTGGAGAGGGAAGCATTTTGCCACACATTTTTGATGCCTCCCGGATGCAAAATGGTCCGTTTTTGGCCACTAGATAGTTCCGTCTCTGTATGATCGACTAAATGGACTGCTTACCTGTTGATACTGATTTCCTCCACGATTTTCTCACTGATCCTTCCCGAACTTCCATCCGGTATATCGGTGGTGGATTCGACCGACGAGTCGGGTCTTTGTCTCGGGCATTTGTATAGCTTGTTGATTTTCTCGGCATCAATATCACTCAATTTGTAACGTTGGCCAATTTCGGCCGAGTTGTTTTTCGGGACGATCGTGGCGCGTCCGTTCCTCGAGAACGCCAGCTTGTGGTAGTGCATGATGGACTCGTAATCGTAGGGCATTCCCAACGGATCGATGATTTTCCTCGGGTACTTTTCGAAGTTGCGCATCATGCCCGGACGAATGTTGCCTTCGTCGATGACAACATATTCGTCGCGGTCGGTTCGGCTGTGCTCGTGGAAGAATCCTGAAATTTCAGAGGTCTTTTGGGAAGGTTTGGCGTAGAATATGAGATTTCGCACACGTGTGTTAAGCGAGAAGTTCTCGGAAAAATATTTTTTGATTCAAATAGGAGGCGTTCTAAATGGAGCGCATAAAATTTGATGAGACCCAGGGGAAATTCTGATTTTGAGTCTCCAAGAAATACAAGAGATTTTTAGCGTGCACTCATCGGAAACCACAGAGGTTTATAGGTCTAAATGAACCTCGAAAAAGTTCTTATATCTGATCTAAAAACCTCGATGGTGTCTCGAAAACGCAAACAAAAGAATCACTTGTCTTGGAAAATTTTAACTGAACCTTGCTTCATCAAAATTCATGCGTCCATTTAACGCACCAACTATTTGAATCGAAAAATATTTTCGGGTTTTTGCAGACGAAAAATATGATAAAGCCCCGAATTGAAGGAATTATCATCAAGCGTTCGCCGCCGGCTATTTATAGGGCAAACAGGGAAGGAGGGAGTGGCTGTTTATTACCTTAATCTTTGTAACCAATTTTATTCTTTTTTTTTGCAAAAAAATAAGGTTAAATTTTATATCAACACATGAATTTAAAGAACTCGACTGAGGAGTAATTAACGTATTTTACAAAAAAAAGACGTTATCATAAAGTTTTTTGAATGGCTTAAATTTGGTTTTCACCTCCTAAAAGATCCGTAAAAAACAAGAAATCCGATATAAAAGTCATACTCACCTATCGCATGCATCAACTCATGGGCAATGATGCCTTTTGAGAAGCATTTTCCGACCTCCAGCGATACCGTTTGATTCCCGCCGGCTCTTCCGACGTAGGACGAACAGCCAAATGCGATATTCCGCTTGATATAAATGTAATCGTAATCGTCCGATTCCTTGGGGACGAATCGAATACAAGTCTTGTCTCGGTATTCGTTAAAGGCTTGGGCGATCGCAGCGCGTTGACTGAAAATTTTAAGACATTTTTTCCGATTTGCCGGAAGCAGTAAGATTAAAATCTCTAACAGCAAAAGCTACTGTTTAATATCAGTAAAAATTCTTATTTTTACTCTCAAAATACCATAGTTTAAACGGTATTTTGAGAGTGAAAACACAAAGAAATAACGGTCTCTAAATCGAAAATTCTGAAGTCCGTTTGGACCGTCAGAGGTCCTTGTCCACTTGTCTTCCAAAACGAAGACTCGGTCTTTTTCTTCTCCTCCCTCCTTGCTGCTATACTTTGTTTGCGTAAAAACTTTGTTTAGACTTCACAAAAGGGATCCGCAGATCGCGAGGACCCATGTTTTGTCCACGTAATATTATATTCTTCTCTGTGTAGTTGAAACTTTGGCTGGAAAATGCATATACACAGCGTTTCGATATGATTGTATCGGAAGAAATGTAAAATCTGCAGCTCCTTAGCTAGCTAGTCATAAAAGAGGTCAAAGAGTTACAGTGGGGGACCTGGTCCGGTGACAAAAAACGTACCATTTTGCATCCGGGAAGTATCAAAAAATGTTGCAAAATGCTTCCCTCTCCAAGTGAAAAAACTCCGATTTCAAAAGCGCGCCCGCTCTTTTTGTGATGGAAAGGGCGCGCATTTCAAAACGAAGTTTTTTTCGCCTGGAGAGGGAAGCATTTTGCCACATTTTTGATGCTTCACGGATGCAAAATGGTACGTTTCTTGCCCCTGGATCGGGTCCGTCACTGCAAGCACATATGGTTTTTCTTCTTTTTTCGCATCGTCACTCCTCAAAACCTTTGCTTGGCTTGTAAATCAGAAAATAGAATTTACAATAACCTCTTTATTATAACCAAGAAGGGACCGCTGACCTACGAATCCCTTAAATTTTCTATATTCTTACCCTTGAGTCATCCCTTCTTCAAGCAAGTACGGTATCCTCCCTTTGTTCCACAACTTGTCCGCATATGTATCCACATTCAAGGAGCTGTGAAACTAAAAAGGCCAAAAGTCCACATAAAATAAACGAATCAATTGCGCGTATTTTAAAAATCCCTCACAGGTGTGTTGAATATCCTGTCTTCATCTGTCATCGGGTCATCTCTTAGTCTGGTCTGATCAAAAGCGGGAATTCCAAGGATATCCCCTTCAAATAGGTCTGGGTTCTCTAGGGCTTCTAGCTCATTATCACTGGGTCTGTAGACTGAAAAGGGGCGATGAAGGTTTTTCGAGAAGCTACGAAAACTTACCTGGCTTTTCTACCGCCAAGTCGAAGTCTTGTGGCAGGAGGAAGGCATCAGGGACGGCTGAAAGAAGATAGATTTTTTAAAATTTGTGTTCTTTCTGGAAATATTTGAGTCTTTTTGAAGGCTGTAGTAGCGAAAAGTTGACTTAAATTTTGTGTGAATCCCTTATTTGACCGAAAAATTACAGGATGCGGCATTTTTTTGGCCGGATTTGAATTGGCTATAACTTTTTTAGTTTTTGGCCAAATGTTAAAATTCTTTTTTTCCCTGAATCCTTAGGCGTCCCCATTTTGTTTAATACCAACCATGTTATACCCATTTATTGGACTACAGTAAAAATTGAAGACAAAGAGAATGCTCTAATTTTCATAGCTGACAAGGGAATTACCCCTAGTGCGACTCTCAGATTTTTCTTCAAATTTTGCACCTGGGCCGGCCATAGGCCACACCTTGAGGGTTGTCGATTTTGCCGTGCCTACCTTCATCAAAAAGAAATTCGTCTTTTGCCGCCACCATCCCCATTATCATCAACATTATCACCATTATCCTCCCATAATGCCGCATTTCCATTGCGAACTGCCTCGTGCAGTTTGTTGTTGTGGGAATGGACTCGTCCTCCTCAGTGTAGCCGGAACTGTTTATTCGTCGTTAGCGGATCGTTTTTTTTTCTTCTTCTTCTGCTTGGAGGATGGGTTTCCTCGTTTTGCGTCTCGAGCACACCGGTTCAAAATGATCGCCCGAAGAGTGAGTCAGCGGCTTATAAACCGTATACGAATTGATTCAGATAACCGTGCGGTTTATGACAAGTGTGGTGTTGTGATGGGCATGGGCTGAGACTGAAATACGGAGCGAATGAAGGCAGGTTTTTTTTGGAGAAATGCAGAATTTTCGGCCGCGGTAAATAATTGAGATCGAAGAAGGGTAAAAACACTGTTGGAGTGATTAAATTTTACAATAAATATTATGTTTGAATATAACGATGGCTGAATGATTAAACCGGAAAAAAAACGAAGCAAATTTTCATGATGATTAAAAAGGATTTCAATGACAAAAAATACTACACGTTTCTAAGAGAGGGCAGACATTTACCAGAGCACCTTTTGAGGTATGGGAAAAGTTTCAAAAGTAATTATAGGACTGAAAAAAAAGTGTTTCTAGGCGGGATATCTTTGTTGTATATATATATTTTTTTTAATCTTGGGGATGTCACTTTACTGTAAAATACGTGATCAGGTGTTCTTGTAAAAAACGTAAATTGCCCCTGGGAAAATTAAATTGTGATAAGACTATATTAAAAAAAAGATCTTCAAGGACATTTTCTCACGTTTTGTTGCATGTAAGTCGGCTTACATTGCAGACTAATTCAAAAATTAGCCTTCAAAAGCCTCAACTGGCTTCTGAATCACATTCGTAATTCTATGTATTTTCTTCCCTACTTCCTCAGTCTACTTTACAAACAATTCTAATCAAAAAAATCGCTCAAAAGATCCCCAATTTTCCTGGCAACTTCAATCTTTTTCTTTTCAATGTTATTCAACCCTTCAACCGGCTATTTAAAAAACTTGTCCCAGACTAAAAATAAAAATTAATTGGAGGGTAAAAACGACCTTCGCGCAGATGATTATCCCCAAAAATCGCTAAGGGCTTCTTCACTTTTCGAAATGGACTTCACAGGCCCTAAGGCGAGAAACGAACAGTAAATAACGCATGCTCGAAAAAAATCAGAAAAAAGGCGCTATTTGAGGGAGTAAAAAAGGTTTTTACAAGCAAAAAAATTGTGATTTTTTTGATTTTTTGGCAAAATTATAAATTGAGGAAAGCATTTTAGTGAAATTTTTAAAAAATAGTAAAAAGAAGTTTATAAAAAGTATATAATTTAACAAAAAAATTTCTAAAAATGATTACTTTTTTGGGCCGAAAAACTATATTACATTATCCATTTCAATATTGACCGCTGACCACAGGAGAAAAAAGAAATTTTTGGAAAATAAAAATTAGAGCCCGACGGTCAAAAGAGAAGCTTTGGAAGCTTTGGAAATGGAATTTGATCAAACACAGCCCGGCCGCGCTTGTTTTTTTATATCACTCGCTGACCGCCGCTGAGGTCAAAACGAAAAGGAAGTCATTGCATGGTGCAAGATTACTCTTGAAACTGCAAATTGGAGGGGGGATTTGAGGAACAACGGTGGAACAGAGGTCTGTTAAAAGTGCAAATAGTCGGGCAGTCAGGGGAAATTCAAAGCTCATGAAAAGTTGAATTTATGTTAGGAGTTTCTGGGGTGGGTTTATGAGGGATGTACTCAATTTTCGACGTTCAAATTTTCAATAAAATCTTCCTAGTAGCCTGTATATCCATTCCTAAAAATCTCGGGCCACGTGTTGCAGGCGCAGCCTATAACACGCGGCTAGAAAAGAATGATCAAATTAGCCGTTAGAAATTAGAGAAAAAAAGAAAATTTTCAGAAACTCTTAAACTTTTCGAGCACGCCTAATTCTGCATAGCGCGGTCTAAGAATTTCGGATATTCCTTAGAAAAACTTCTATTTTTATCTGTCGTAAATCGCATAAAAAGTCTCAACGCCCAACCCTGCTGACCTCCTCAGAAAAAGCCTCAACCAACCAAGCCTATCTACAACAAATCAATTTGTTGATTATGAATGCATTTGTCTCCCAAACCACCAAAAACAACATCAAATCTCTCCCCCACCGAATCCCCATCGCTACACGGTAGCGTCGCTCGTCTCCACGCTACACACATCCGACGCAACAACCCCCCTCTCCAGGCCCCTGCCCCCCTTCAGCGGTGCGAAGAAAGCACGTCGCTTGGAGGGGGTCGCGCGCGGATCACACACATTTCCGGGCAAACGCCCCTGGAGCGCTGCGGAGTGGGGCCAAAGGGGTTTTGCGCGGAATCTTCGTGGAGTGACCGGTCGAAACAGAAAACAAACAAACGGCCGAATTCAAAAAAATCCCCCCAAAATTTTTCGGTTTTTTTGCGCGCACCCGAGCTCCGAAGATTTCCGGCGACAGGCGACGGGGTCGGGGGGTTCAAGGACCGGAAGATTTTGCGAAGACGTACCAATACGAATTCGGAATTGAATCAAAGTATTTGACAATCAGAAAGTTTGTTTGTTTGCGCGTACTTTACAAAGACGCCCTACGATGATAGCCAACGAAATTTTTATAAATAGAAAAATTATTATTTATATTTAAATTTTATAAAATAAAAATAAAAAACAAAAAAAATAACCAAAATTTTTATTAATAATTAAAAATTATTGAAATTTCAAAATATTTTTTTTAAAAAATGTTTCAAATTTTTTTACAGACAATAGAAAAAACATTTTACTACCCGCGTCATAAAGTCCCGGCGATTTTGCCGCGAAATTTTGGTGGGATTGCATGCAAAAATTATCAGCAAAACGCACTTTGAAAATTGTCTGTACTTTATCAGTCTTTCGGAAAAAAATGAGCAAAATGTCGCTGCACCGATCGCGTCGCTGAAGTGGAAAGCAATTTGATGTGTCGCCACGCAATTCATTTTCTCGGCGGCGATAAAATTTTCGATGCGACGGAGTTCTCACCACTTTTGCGACAGCCCGATAGTAAATGTTTAGTACATTGCTCTGCTCTTAGAATATGTACTTGCAATATTGAATGGTTATTCTTGCCAACACTTATAATACTAGAGCCTGGGGCCTGTTTCACGAACGCAAAAACTCATATTTCTAAAGAAAATAGAAATATGAGTGAGCGAGGGAACAAAGGAAATGCATGCAAAACAGGAGAGACGGCAGGAAAATGAGGATTTCGCCACTTCTCAATCGGAGTGACTTTTTACGTCCAAAATCAGGGTTGGCGGTAGTATTTGGGTCATAACTTTCCTCTACTTGGGCCTACAAGCACGTTTCGGCCATAACTTTTCCATCCATGGGCGTAGAATCACCCTTCAAAATTTCGAATAATGCTAACTGTTTGGACTGTCATGTGTGCAAGTTTCGTTGCACTGTTGCAAAAACCCGCTCGAAAATAGCTGTAGTATTGCGCATATTTCTATTTTCTACAAAATTTGCGCAGTTCTAGATTAATTTCCTCATAACTTGGTCCAAAATTGTCGGATCGACACCGTTTAAAAAAAATCATGTAGACCTGAGTCTGTGCTTTACAGTAATGTAATTTTTTAGGATGTTTGGCGATCCACGGCACGAACAAATTTATAGTAGTGCAGCAGTTTGCAACATTTTTTCATTTTTTTCAGAATAAAAATAGGTTTTTGTTCCAAATAATAAAATATTAGCAAAAAATTTTATATAATTGTAAAGAAAATTGTCTTGGCTACCTTATTTTTTTAGAGGGGCGTCTATATCTCACCAACTGATAAAGTTATGGGTGATTTAGTCCAGCCGCATCCCATTTTTTACCGTAAAATTTCTCTCTTGTTTTGATTTGAGGGCTCTTTCGAAAGATTTTTTGTGACGAAAATCGAGGGATTGTCAAAGTAAATCAGTTATTACTCAGCCAAAAAATTACTTACAGTTGGCCCTCTAAAAATGTTTTGTAGAGAATTAAATTGTCTATCGACTGACATAAATTAGAATTTTTTACTGTTTCAATTAACGCGAAAAAAGGCCTTTTAGCGTTATAAAGTAGAAGAATTCAACACTACAACGCCTATGGTAACTTTGTCATTGGCGGTAGAGCAAAAATTTTTATAGATCTATATAGCCCGAAGTCTCAGCATTATTTGAATTTTTGGAGAGTGCTTGTAGGCCCAAGTAGAGGAAAGTTATGACCCAAATACTACCGCCAACCCGTAATTTTGGACGTAAAAAGTCACTCCGATTGAGAATTGGCGCAATCCTCATTTTCCTGCCGTCTCTCCCGTTTCGCATGCATTTCCTCTGTTCCCTCGCTCACTCATATTTCTATTTTCTTTATTTCGCGTTCGTGAAACAGGCCCCTGGAAATGTTATCTTGCAGTTTGAGAAGTTTCAGTTTATCCTAATAATGCGTTAGAACGGCTCCAGTCAACGTATTCTAACTTCCATGCCTTGCGTATTTATTCTAGAGCAAATTTCGGGGGCTTCATCTTTTATCGCTTACTGCGTTTCAGAAACTCGTTTAATCAAAGGTAAAGAAAAGATTAATCAAAGCGATCAGAGTCAAGCTTTCGTTTAGCGGGGTTTTACTTTCATTACCTTGCTCTTAAGTCAAGTGGTGAGCGTACTTTTTATTTCTTCTCGTTTTTCAAGTGCTATTTACGGCCATGAAGTCCGCCGTTGTTGCCACACTCACCTCCACTTCTGTGATATGCCTTGTAATGTTCAGTATGGTCTGTCTATTCGATGAGATGGACAGAATGATAATTGAGATGAATATTGATCTCATGAGCTCCAAAGTTTTGAATTCGGAAAGTTTGAAGGTCCTGAGGGATGTTCAGAAAGATGTTGAGGAAGCGGGACTACCGTTGAGGATGGCACGACAAGCCATTTCCGCTGAATCAATTGCTTCGGTATTTAGAAACAAGAGGCAAGCGGGACAATGTTCTTCATGTAGCCGGTCGGCCAGCTGTCCGAGAGGGCCACCCGGGCCAGCTGGAGCAAAAGGAGCGCCTGGAGGTGAGGATCGATTAGTAATGCTTTTGGGTTCCAAAAGCATTATTAATCGCCGTTAAAATATCTGTAAATTGTGCATGGTTTGATATATAATCTGATCAGTAATTCATCACATACATATACATTTTAAAATATAAATTTCAGACGCCGGAGAGCCCGGAGAGCCTGGTCGACCAGGAGTCACTGGTTTCGTCCAGCTCTTTGACCAATTCAACGGCGGATGTATCAAATGCCCTGCGGGTCCACCGGGCGAAGTTGGTCCGGACGGTCCAGTTGGAGAACCCGGAGAACAGGGACCTGAAGGTCGGGCCGGTTACGACGCCTTTGACGGAGCACCAGGGCCCCAGGGACCAATCGGCGATGCTGGCCCTAAGGGCGAAAAAGGTGCAAAGGGCATTCCTGGAAGCGATGGGCACAATGGCAAGCGAATTATTGGAGTCCAAGGACAGCCTGGACCAGTTGGTGCGCCGGGACAGGTGGGAATTCCGGGACTCAATGGGAACAATGGTAAGAAACAAAAGCTTTGTTTCGATTGAAATATTATAGTACCATCAGTTTTAGAGGCAAATAATTTTGACCCGTTTTCAGGTAGAATCGGAGCCCCTGGTCCAATCGGCCCCATTGGCGAAAGAGGACCTGCTGGAGAGCCTGGTGCTCCTGGAAGAGATGGAGCGGTAAGTCGGAAAATCCAGCTTTCTATTAGGTTGTCCAGTAAGTAATGTCGTCGTTCAAAAGATTTTTTGTATGACAAAATACACCGTAATAATTACGGAATTGAGGCGCCTTTTGAAAACATATCCCTCGTTAGCATAGGTTATTCAACTTTTAAGCAAAGTTTGGTGGGGAAATATGTACTTACGAGGCTCAATTACATAGTGGTTTATCCTCACAAAAATAATTTTTTAGCCCGGCATCGGAGGAGCCAACGGACCCGACGCTTCCTACTGTAAATGCCCTGGCGCATGAACTTTCAACTATATCGAGTTTACATTTGAATAAACATTTTTATCATTTTTATCGTCATAGAAGCAGTTTGAACCCTGTTCTATATATCGATTAATGTTTTGAATAAACCAGCTTCTAGCATGCATAAATAAGATTACTTTGTCTTTAAACGAGTTTCTGAAATCCTTTTTTTAAGCAATTTATAGATTCTTTTGTATCAAAAATTTGTATCGGTATAGAATGTAGATTGTGTCAAGCTTCGTATAAACTCGTATCTTTTCAGCTTCACGTTGAAAACCTAAACACAATTGTGCTTTGTGCTTTGATACTCCTTGGGACAAAAAATAATACGATTACCCCCCACATTTTTGTATTCAGTGCCCAGCTTTACCTTCAAATAAGATTTTACTGCCTAGGGCAAGTTAATTATAAAGTCACTAATATTTGGAATTCGATTGTAAACTCTGGCTACTCAATATAATTTGAGTGCAAAAAAGGTAGACCATAAGTTATTTTGATTAAGGAAATGGCAAGCACAAGTGTTGTTTGTGTCATAAAATTTCCACCGGCATGATTTTTTGGGTTTAAAAGAGTCAAAAAATTTGTAGAATTATGTTTTTTTCAAAAACTGCAGTAGCCGAGGGGTCCGTGCGTAAAGTTCATTGTTTCTTTCTTCCTTCTCAACTCACAGGAGAAGTACTCCAAGTGCGACGCTCAGATTTTCTTTAAATTTTGCACACACGTCGGGAATAGACTAAATATCAATGCCTGAAAGTTTTAGCTCGCGCTTTGCGGGCGCCGCCGAGATATCGAACGATTTTTGCTGCCGAGGGAGCACGCTAAACGTGGAGAGCTGTCAGAGAAAAGCGCTTTTTGGCCATAACTTTGGCAGTTTCGTGCGGAAAAATTTGATTTTTTGTGGAAACATTATCCTTTACAGTTGAAACAGGCACAAACTTTTTGTGCCAAAATTCAGCAAAAAGTCCTAAATTTTCGCCGACTTTAGATCTAAAAATCTCGGTTGTTTCTGCAAAGCGCGAGCTTGGATTCTCGCATATTTCTTACAAGGGAATGGTCTGAACTTCCCCCAGCGTTTCGGAAAATGACTAGTGCAGGTGGATAGAGCAGGTCAACTTTGGTAATAAGAGCCACTTTCCAGCTGCGGAATAAGCCCGGCCGACGAGAAAAATCGACCAAAGGTTCCACGAAAATTTCCTCTTTCTCTTCCCTTGAAAAAGAAGAGCGGTGTCCAGTGGTTCGGTTGGCCGAGTGGATAAAGCGTCCGCTCGGTATTCTTTTGGGGGTTGGTTCTATTCCGGGGCAGCGCGAAGGACCGTAGTAAGACTTTGGTGTGAGCAAGATCAAACTCTCATGAAACAAAAAAATATTTTCGCATTTTTTACGTTTCATATGCGGTACTATACCGAAAACACAGACAGTCGTGAAAAAAAATATTTTTTTGGCTTTTCCAGACCTACAAACCAATGAAACGTCGAAGTCATACCGGATCAGCGCGAAAGACCGTAATAAGACTATACGTTATACAAAAAATTTTAAACAATACTAATTGGGGTTCGTTTCAAAAAGTACGTTTCAAAAAGATAGAGATACCCTTATCTATGAACAAACGTGTATGACTTCGACGTTTCATCGCTTTAAAAATCCAAAAAAATTTTTTTTTTTCACAGTTATCTGGGCTTTCGGTATAGTGCCCCATATGAAACGTAAAAAAAATGCGAAAATATTTTTTTGTTTCATGAGAGTTTGATCTTCCTCACACCAAAGTCTTATTACGGTCCTTCGCGCTGCCCCGGAATAGAACCAACCCCCAAAAGAATACCGAGCGGACGCTTTATCCACTCGGCCAACCGAACCACTGGACACCGCTCTTCTTTTCCGAGGGCACGCCACGAAAAAAGTGGAAATAGAGAAATTCGCGGGAAAATGTTTTCAACATTTCATACGCTGAAACCTTTACAAATAAATAATAAAAATGATCCCAAAGTTCTAATAAAACGACAATCTACGTGTAAAACCAACGAGAAAACATCGAAAGGCTTCAAGGAGGTGCAACCCGAACTTTTCAGATTGATCGGAGAAGAGAAAGGAATTATATTGTACTAGGCAAAATTGGATCAGAATCGACGAATCTGACCGAATTCGAACTTTTCGGAGGGTAATCAAGACTAGCAGGGCTTTGATCTTGCTACAAAACACCACTACTAAATTGAAATTCATCAAATCTTCTTTATTTCCACCTAAATATCTAACCAACAAGAATAATTAAAATTACATAAATTTTCGACAATCCATCGAATTTGCCGGATGCAACCTGAACTCGGAATTCAATCTCCACACCCTTTGGTACATTATGCTGGCTTTTACATTTTACTTACTTCAAGATGGACCGGCTGAAATATCAATTATATTACTTTAGGTATAACCAGAGAAAATTATTAGCTCAATGGCCTAGAAAAACAAAAAATCAAAAAGGCAACGTCACAACCTTACCTTGAAATGTTCTGAACGTCGTCTGCTTCCTCTGATCCAGTTTTGCTCGCGCCTTCTCCAGCCCTTTCTCGCGTTTCTCCATCAGTTACTGCAAAATGATGCATTGATGAACTTGCAACTGCCCTTTTTCAACTTTAGAATTTCCAGATTTCTTCTTTACAACGTCCGCAAGGATGTTTCACACAAAATGAATCATCCCCTTTGTTCCTAATCCGGATGCATAAAGAGAAATCTTACATTTTCTGAAGACACCTCCGCAGCTGGTAAATCAATGTTTGGGTCACAGCGCGATGGGTCGGGCTCCATGGACTCATCCATTATATTCAAATCAAGCTTATTGCAGTTCTCAACTAACTTTATATTCATTTGCTTCGTCTGCGCCAGCTTTGCACGCGCTTTCTCCAGCGGTATCATGCGTGTCTCTTTCGATTCCTGCAAAATTATGCATTAATGAACTAGCAAGTGACCTTTTTCAACTTTAAAATTTCCAGATTTCTTCTTTACAACGTCCGCAAGGATGTGTCACATAAAATGGATCATCTCCTTTGTTCCTAATCCGGATGAAAAAAGAGAAATCTTACATTTTGTGGGACACTATCAGCTCCTGAAAAATGATGTATATAACCTATTGACAAGTGACCTTTTGCTATTGTCAAATTTCCAGATTTTTTCTTTACAACGTCCGCTAGGATGTTTCACACAAAACAGATCAGTTCTTTTGTCCCTAAACCGGATGAATAAAGAGAAACCTTACATTTTCTGGAGGCACCATCAGCTCCTGCAAAATGATGCAATAATGTATTGACAAGTGCCATTTTTTTATTGTCAAATTTCGAGATTTCTTCTTTAAAACGTCCGCAAGGATGTTTCACACAAAAGGATTGGCTACGCTGTTCCTAAACTGGATACAAAAAGAGAAATCTTACCTTTTCTGTAGACACATCAATAGGTGGAGAATCATTTTTGTGTCAGAGCGCAATGGGCTGGCCTCCATGAACTCATCCATTATATTCAACACTTGAAACTGACAAAAACTTAATTTTTGACATACTATTCATACCTAAATTATTCCAACTATCAGAGTTACAATACTATCTACCACAATATTCATGCGCTCAAAAAAGATTAAAAATATTGGGCGCAGCTCGAAATCTCTATTTCCAATTTTGCCTTACGTTTTTCGTGGCGTGCCGAGGGAAGAGAAAGAGGAAATTTTCGTGGAACTTTCGGTCGATTTTTCTCGTCGGCCGGGCTTATTCCGCAGCTGGAAAATGGCTCTTTTTACCAAAGTTGACTTGCTCTATCCACCTGTACTAGTCATTTTCCGAAACGCTGGGGGAAGTTCAGACCATTCCCTCGTTAGAAAAAATAATTCTAAATTTGGGCCAAGTTTCATCAAAATCTGAGCGTCGCAGTTGGAGTACTTACCCTGTCAGATACAATATTAATCGTTGTGAGGAGAGCCTATGTTTAGTCAGTTACAATTCCTAATTTCCTGCGAGAACTGTCAAATTTATTGTCCCAAGAAGCTCCAGATAGCGACTTTTTCTTGCACAACCAAAAAATTGACTTTTTTATGGAATTTTTATTCACGTGACATTGAAACTTGATCAGTAGCTTATACCAAGGATAACAAGTTTAACCGCCTGCTTTTCGGAAACTCCATTATTGTTTTATACCTAACACGATTTGATTTTGTAACTTTATTTCAACATTTCTGGAAGCAGGGATAACTGAATTTGTGGCAGGATTTTGTAAAAGTTTGTTATGTAGAAAGGGCATGTTCAAATTTTTATGAAAATGAGTGGCATACGGTAGGTGTGAGCTCGTGATGGGCTTATTGTCACAGGTCATCCCGGTGCCGTTATTTCAAGTACAAAGTCCTCTTTGTATTTCGTATGTACAAAGGAATTCTGCGCAAGTTGAACTCATCGTTATAATAACATTATAGTCACGTTGTTCCGCAATTATTTGCAAAAGAACTATCTATATACAACTGTGTGCGAAAATATTACCATTATTTCATAATCGTATTACCATTGACAAGAATTATTCTGCGAGTGCAAAATTTATGGCACAAAAAATAATTGTGCCCATTTTCATCCATGGTAACAGGATACAAGTAGTTTACACTTTGCCCTTTTGCGGAAAAAATTGTTTTAGCTACAAAAGCTTGAAAGAAGTCTCAAGAGTTTTGACGTCTTTCCCAATTTTCTACAGATTCTCAAGTCGTCTCTGAGACGGTCTCCAGAAAAGAGCTTCAGGCGTTTCCCTGACTTTCACGGCACTCGTTGAGATTTGTCATGCGAACGAGACTTTGTGGACTCTTCCGGTTCTTCGGCTCAAACATCATCGGCCCCGCATACGTGGAGCGGGCTCGTTAACAATTCGAAGTCGAAGCGCTACGAGTCAAAGGTCATCGCAACGCGCGCTGACCGCTTCATCATGCGGAAATCGGATCCGTCTCGCGGCCGCCTACAACTGTGTAATCACAAAGCGGCCTTGGGTTT